TTACATTAAACGGTAGTGCTGCATCCGTGTCTCCACTACCATTCAAAGGTTTGGAGTTAGTACTATTTTTTTGTTGTTGTTAAATTTTTGATGTTAAATTGATCAGAAGTGACCGTAAAGACATTTATAATGTTACAAAAAAAATCCCATTTCAAATAAATGCTCTTTCATTCAAGCAACATTGAAAAAAAACACAATTGTTTATTATAAGAAATGTTTCCTTGACCACCAAATCAGCATATTAGAATGATTGTTGAAGGGTCATGTGACACGAGAAATGGCTGTTGCATCACAGAAATATTAAATTGTATTAAAAATGAAAGTTCTTTTCACAATATTACTCTTTTTACTGTATGTTGACCATTTAAATACAGCCTTGGTGAGCATAAGAGACTTAAAAAAACAATGTCACCAACCTCAAACTTTTGAACAGTAGTTTATCAATGATTCAGACCTCATTCAACCTCAAAAACTAATATGTTTGCACATTTTTCTTAATAAAGGTATCAATTCCATTGTGGCTATTGCATCATATACTGGATACAACCAGGAAGATTCTGTCATCATGAACCGTTCGGCTGTGGATCGTGGATTCTTCAGGTATCTATGCTAAACTATGCTTACAATTTCTTTTCACAAAATTCAAGTTTTGACTAAACTGTGTGTTATCTCAGGTCTGTGTTCTACCGCTCGTACAAGGAACAGGAATCTAAGAAAGGCTTTGACCAGGAAGAGATCTTTGAGAAACCCACCCGAGAGACCTGTCAAGGTGCAATTCTAGTGCTTTTACTCTTCTCTTCATCTACAGGAAGTGACAATGCAGCATATTTGTAGCTTTCTTTCTTTTTCTACTGCTTGAAGCAACAAAATATATTATATTTGTCTACATTTGTGGTCCAATGACCTTTCAGTTTGAATATTTGCTGCAAATCTTCAGATTAAAATGGAGATGTGATTGATTGCTTCTGCAAGCTATGTGTTATTAGCATTTCTGTTCCTTTTTTCGCTAAAGGCATGCGACACGCCATCTATGACAAGTTGGATGACGATGGTTTGATTGCTCCCGGTGTGCGTGTGTCTGGTGAGGACGTCATCATTGGTAAAACCGTAACTCTTCCCGAGAATGATGATGAGCTGGATAGCACCAACCGTCGCTACACTAAGAGAGACTGCAGCACGTTCCTGCGCACCAGCGAAACCGGAATCGTTGATCAAGTCATGGTCACGCTAAACCAGGAGGGCTACAAGTTTTGCAAAATCAGAGTATGTAGTGATTTGAATCTTTTTTTTTTACCAATCTTGAAGGAAAATTTCACTTAAACATGAACATTATTTACCCTCAGTATATTCCAAACCCAAATGCTGTTGTTTTTTTTCTTTCAAAGATCAGCTTTTAGTGCAAATGCTTAAATGTAAATTGTCTTGTGCAGGTCCGTTCAGTTCGTATACCACAAATCGGAGACAAGTTCGCCAGTCGTCACGGTCAGAAGGGTACCTGCGGTATCCAGTACAGACAAGAGGTAAGTGTCCACTACCGTACGATTTTTAAAAACCTGGGCTGCATTTATTTGATGAAAAATACAACAAAAAATCTAATACTGTAAAATATATTCCAATTTAAATAACCTGTTTTCTATTTTAATACATTTCAAATTGTATTTATTCATGTGATCTCAAAGCTGAATTTTCAGCATCATTACTCCATAGGTGTCTCACAATCCTTCAGAAATCAATCTAATATACTGATTTGATGTTCAAGAAACTTTACTTATTAATGCTTAAACAGATTTTCTCCTTATTATAATATTTTTGTGGAAGCTGTTGTACTTTGAAATAAATTTTCAAACAAGCATCATTTTTTGTAATACAAATCTTCTGTAACATAGATGTTTACTGTCATTTTTAATCAATTTAAGGCATCCTTGTTGAATAAAAGTGTTATTAAAAAGTATTACTGACTCAAAACCTGTGTAATAGGAGATGTAATGTTGTAGCGCTCATTGTTAATGTGAACGAGACTGAATGTGTATGCTTTTGCTAGGTTTGTTTAGACTAGTCTGCAGTTGAAGGTTTGTACACAGGATGTGGCTCTTAAACAGCTCACGACAGCATAGGCTCTTACATTGTAAACAGTCACTATGAAACCCAAACGCAGATGCAGTGTGTGTCTGACCTGAGCTGTGAATTTTCCTCTCTTTAGGACATGCCATTCACATGTGAAGGAATCACCCCAGATATCATCATCAACCCTCACGCCATCCCTTCCAGAATGACAGTCGGCCATTTGATCGAGTGTCTGCAAGGGAAGGTACTTAGGTTTTCTGCTCCTAATCTTGTGTCGTGCTTCTCTTTCCAACTCGTTGTCTACATTACTAATAGATGTTTATTCTGGAAACATGTGTTCAGAAAAGTGCCCATCTGAATCCATAATGAAAAGGTTTTAATGATATCCGTGTCTCATTATGTAAGCGAAAGTTTGATATTTCATTAGTTAAAAGGAATTAGTCAAAGTCAGTTAGAATCATCAAATGTAACGATTTATTGTGTCAGGTAAATTTATCATCAGTTCAAAGATAATCAATACAAAACATCAAATGTTCTGGAATAAAGAGAAGACAAACCCGACATTAGGAAATAGGCTATGTGAAGCTGAGTCTCGTGGACTCCCAACTTCACGGGCTGATCTGAGGTACAGAAAAGTCCCTGATCTTCTAGTTGCATTTCATTATATAACCAGACCTCATTTCATATGTAAACATGAGTTCAAAGTGGAAATTTACCTTGAACACTGTAGAAGTTGTCATACGTTTGCATGCAATTCAACCATCAATTGAATAAGGTGTTAACAAAACCATAATTCGGTTCCATTATACTGAATAAGAACCAATTCTTAATTCACAGCCCTAGTCATTTTTGTGTTAAATATGTAGCAGTTCAGAACACTTTATTTCCTTTTCTGTTCAGGTGTCTGCTAACAAAGGGGAGATTGGTGATGCCACACCATTCAACGATGCTGTGAATGTACAGAAGGTCTCCAACCTGCTGTCAGAATACGGTTACCATCTGAGAGGCAATGAGGTGAAGAGCTCCTACCTGCCAATGTTGCAGTCCACCCAAAAATGAACATTCAGTCATCATGTACTCACACTAATGTAGTTCCAAAGCTGTTTGACTTTCTCCTGTGAAACATAGAAGATATTTTGATCAGTCTTGGCAACCAAACAGTTTCGCTTTCCATTGACTTGATCATCTTATATGTTCCACTGAAGAAAGAAAGTCATACAGGTTTGTGTGACGAAAATGACTGAATTTCATTTTTAGGTGGACTATTCCCTTGAGAATGCATTAGGTGTGTTGAAACGTGGTTTTAATGGTATTATTTATTATTGCAGGTTTTGTATAATGGCTTCACTGGCCGTAAGCTCACCTCACAGATCTTCATCGGACCCACATACTACCAACGTCTAAAGCACATGGTGGACGATAAAATCCACTCCAGGGCCCGTGGTCCGGTCCAGATCCTAAACAGACAGCCCATGGAGGGTAGATCACGGTGAGATGACAGCACTATTATGCTAGCAATTTTGTTAATCAGATCTTAACTCGTTTTCTTTCCTCCAGTGATGGTGGGCTGCGTTTTGGAGAGATGGAACGTGATTGTCAGATCGCTCACGGTGCTGCTCAGTTCCTAAAAGAGAGGCTTTTTGAGGCATCTGACCCGTACCAGGTCCACGTCTGCAACCTGTGCGGCCTCATGGCCATCGCAAACACCCGCACGCACACCTATGAGTGCAGGGGGTGCCGCAACAAGACACAGGTGGGTAATCGCTAATGTCCGGTCTTACTGGGTCAAGTGGTCAATTAAGTTGGTATAAAATTAAATTTCACACTTTATTTAATTGATTTTATTGTGAATGATTTGTCAATGCATAACTCTCTCTGTTGACATGTGCTAGACTTCTCCAATCATTAAGTACGCTTAAACCCACCCCTTTCTCACAATATACTACAAGCTTGCATTCAGATCTGCCTCAATCCGATCAACAACCCCGCTCTTGAACCAAGAGCCCGCCCTTCAATTTCTTCTTTTTCGATAACCATTTTCACTCTGTTAATCACTATACAGAAAAAAGAAGATCTGTCTCTAATTCTCTATTTTATTGAGACTTTAAATGGTCAGGGATGGTTTTTTGTTCAATTCCCACAAATAGCAAGTCATGAGCTTTTACTTTAAATGGTATAATGAGCATATTATAGAACTCATATTTAAGATGTTAAAGGGATACTCCACTTTTTTTGGAAATATGCTCATTTTATAGCTCCCCCAGAGTTTTACCATTTTCGAATCCGATTTTCTGATATTTTGAAGAGCATTAGTAACCAGACAGTTTCTGGTCTCATTGACTTCCATAGTAGGAAAACATATATACTATGGAAGTCAATGAGACCAGAAACTGTCTGGTTCCTGATATTCTTTTAAATATCAGAAAATCGGCTGAACGCATTCGAAAATGGTAAAACCCAACTGTTTAACTCTGGGGGAGTTGTATAATGAGCCTATTTCCAATAAAAAAGTGGAGTAGGTTATCCCTTTAAAATGAGCTCTTTCGTGACCCCCTTCCTCCGCTCTGTTCTTTCAGATCTCTCTGGTGAGGATGCCGTACGCCTGTAAGCTCTTATTCCAGGAGCTGATGTCTATGAGCATTGCCCCACGGATGATGACCAGCTAAACGGCCACACCGATGAATAATGGAAAACTGGAACCAGGAGCAAATCATAGTGGAAATGATTTTGAATGGATCCCTACAGCACTTCCTGCGGTAGCTGCTGGTCTTGTGAAATGTTTTATGTTTTTGTTGTTTTTCATACGTTGTTATAGTTCTGAAACGGGTGTTTTGGCTGTTCAACATAGAATAAAAGAAAGCTTTTTTTAAATAATAAAAAACCCCAGATGTGTTCAAGATTTAATTATTTTGTTTTTTGCGCAAACACAAACTCCGTGCCTTTCAAAGTACATCTTTATTCATTGGTGGTATACAAATATCAAAACATACAATCAAATGCATTATATGCTCAGACTTTTAGAGGACAACATTTAATTCTAATGCAGTTTAGGAATCGACAGAATAGTAGGAAGTCTATAGCTGTGATAAATGAGCTGTTAATTCTTAACTTAACCAAAACTTAACTTAATCTAAACTCTGAACTACAATATTTGTAATTTGTTTAGTGAACTTGTCATGTCATAAGCTGAAAAAAATGCAGTTTTTCTCTGTCGTTTTGATTTACTAGATTTTTTGTTTTAACTTTTTTTGGGCATTTAAAGGCAGATCATATAAGTGAGCTTTACATTTTCATATAATGAAACATTTACCTATGGCCCTCAGTCAAGTTAGATTTGTGGCCCTTGCCTTTATTGCAGGGCAACTCTGATTTAGATTAGTCTTGAAGCTTTTTTGAAGGAACATCGTCCAAAAGTTTGCACAAATACAGTTGACCATAGACATCAATCATCAACAAAATAGAAAACTAAAGAAATTAGTACAATATTTGTATCCCCAAAAACACGCAAAGCATGCATATGATAAGTGAAGATGAGATATTTGAGTGCCGCAAATGCATTCAGTGTTCACGCCTGAATGTTTGCATGGAGATATGTATTCACGTGTATGATTCAATCGCTCTGATGGTCGATCGGCGCTTTACAGTATAAAGTTGTTCTGTGGAGAGAGATTGTAGAGTGAGTTAAAGAATACAAATGTCGGGGTCTGTTTTTTTGCGAGTGTGCCTGAACAACTTCTATAGAATAAAGTGCCCACGTGCAAGTTGCTGTTTGTGGTTCAGGCGGTGTGTGTGTGAGCAGTGATTACACTAGATGCTATGAGCTTGTCCTCAGTGCACAGACGAATGCGATTCATCATCTCAGTCAGAGTCCACGTCTTTTTACAGCTCGCTATCCTTCACTGAATACAAACAGACAAGAAACACCAATGACAAAGTCTTGACAAAAAAATATTGTATTTCATATGACTTGTGTGCAATATTCAAAATCTTATATGTGAGGAACAGATTAAGATTTAAAGGAGTAGTTCACTTTTAAAAAAAAAATTCTGCTGATAATTTACTCACCCCCATGTCCAAGATGTCCATGTCTTTCTTTCTTCAGTCGAAAAGAAATTATGGTTTTTGATGAAAATATTCCAGCATTTTTCTCCATATAATGCACTTTACTGGTAACCAAACGCTTCAAGGTCCAAAAGACAGTTTCAGTGCAAATAAAAATTTTTCAAAATGAACGAATCTTTTTTCGTGTCATTTGGTTCATTCAACAAACAAAATGAATGAATTGACTCGGAGAAAGATTCGTTCATTTTGATAAACGAGTTTGAATGCGCATCACAGAACAGAGCAGGGTGACCATTTGAGCTTAGAAAACTAAAACTTTGTGATTTTTAAAAAAAAATAATCGATCATTTAGCTTGATAAGACCCTTATTCATCATCTAGAATCGTTTAAAACCCTTTAAACAGTTTGCAGTTTGCACTGAAACTGTCTTTTGGACCTTGAACCGTTTGGTTCCCATTGAAGTGCATTATACGGAGAAAAATCCTGGAATGTTTTCATCAAAAACCTTAATTTCTTTTCGACTGAAGAAAGAAAGACATGGACATCTTGGATGACCTGGGGGTGAGTAAATTATCAGCATTTTTTTTTTTAAAGTGAACTACTCCTTTAAGCAGTGTTATTTCAGTATAGCAGGGCTATGTATTTTGAATTCGCTTTTATTTTTATATTTCCAGTTTTCATTTTAATTTTAGTTCTGTCATCATGACAACTCTCAGAGGTTTTGGCAAAGCCATGGATATGACAATGTTTATGTGTTTGAAATTGCTGCTGTACAAAATGAAATGGCATACGTGAATCGTCTGTAGCAGATCTATGCAGGTGGAGCTGGGGAAGATGGAGGGTTTCTGAACGTGTGCTCCAACTACTACAGAAAATGCTGACCAAATATCTGAAGATTGATCAGCAAGCTCATTGGCTACTCATACAGCAGGAACCAATCAGCTGTGTCCTATAGAGCAGGGGTGGCTGGGGTGCCCAAACTTTTTCCTACGAAGGGCCAAAAAATCAAACTTGATTGTGGGCCGTGGGCCAAAAGTAAATTTTGCATCATAAATCAAACGGTATTACATTAAAGTTGCTATGGGTTTATTTATTTTATAATATTTAAAATAAATATAAAACAACTTCAATCTGATTAACTAATGCAGTTTATTTGTAAAGTTTTGCATTTTAAAGAAATCCCCTCTCCCCGGACGGTATGGCGGGCCAAATCAAAGGATACCACGGGCCAACTTTGGCCCGCGGGCCCTAGTTTGGGCATCTCTGAGCATGCCTTAAGTGTGGCAACATGTTGATTGACTGAAAACCAGAAAATTTTCCTTAGCAAGTTGATTTATGGGCTATTCCAATGCAACAGTACAAACCTGTCACCGCAACCATCTTGCTAACGGAGCTGGCAGGTGATGTGGGCCAAGAAAACACAGCTCGGCATGATGGGACATGTTCAACACAGCCATGTGCAGCACACATTCTCTACTAATGCAAATGTCTTTTATGTATCCTAAAGCATGAAGTATGTGCTGACAAGTCAACTGTGGTTCAACTACACTCACTCACCCTTCTTGGGAGGAATGTCATTGATGGAATCCACCACGTGGATGATGCCCACAGCAGAAGCTTCGCCCTTGATGTTGCTGGCGTGACACTCGTAGGAGCCGTCCTCATTCTTGGTAAGAGGAGAAATCTGCAACAGATGGCCATCAGTCGTAGTTTTCACCCAATCTGTTCTGAATGTTTAGATAAGTGAAAAGAATTCCAAACAAATGTAACTTAAGATGAGCCTCTGCTTTCGGAGCAGCGCTGCCAATAAATGGTGTAACGGTTTTGTTTTGCGCAATAAACATCATGTAGTTATACGTGGAAAGATAAGCTAAGAGTTTATATTTAGTTCAAAAAAACACACTTACTAGCACCCAGCCAGTAACCTCGTGTTTTTCCGGGCCTCCACGGGTCTGGACGGCCAGGTTGTCTTTGTCTCCTGGGAGCGGCACATACTTTCCTTTGCTGTCAGATACCTATGAGAATCACAACAGCCATAAAGAGTTACTTATACACTATGTGGGTTAATGCAGAACAAATTTCACCATAGAAATCGCTAAGCACATGATTTTGCAGCAAATTACAGCTTGTTCGTTCTGTGGTTAGGCATGATCAAGTTTCACCAGACTCTACAAGAAGAAATGTTTCATTTGTACAGATAAGCAATGCTTTTTTTTTTTCTTCTAAACCATAACCACATGTGGAACCAGACACAATAAATCTTAAACTAGAGTAGGCCTATGTATTGAAGTTTTATATGCTGTCATGACAAACATGATCTGAAATCAGGATAGTTCACCCAAAAATGAAAATTATGTCAATTTTGTTATTTATTCACCCTCAAGTTGTTCCAAAGCTGTGTGAATTTCTTTCATCCACTGAACACAAAAGAGGATATTTTGAAGATATTTTTGGGGTGAACTATTTAAACTCAGGCCCATTTAGGTTTGCAAAATGCAAACATGTGGTAAATGGTGACTTGAACTGATATTCTGAGATATGGCTTTGAGGAGTAGTTCACTTTTGAAAAAAACTTTTGCTGATAATTTATTCGCATCAAAATAAACGAATCTTTTACCTAGTCAATTCATTCGTTTCATTTGTTGAATGAACCAAATGACTCGGAAAAAGTTTCGTTCATTTTGATGAACGAGTTCGAACAGGAGAGGCACAAACGCGCATCACAGAACAGAGCAAGGCGAGCATTTGAGCTTATAAAACTTTTTTTTTTTAATGAGTGATCGTTTCGCTTGATAAGACCCTTATTCATTGTCTGGAATCATTTAAAGCCCTTTGAAGAGTTTGCAGTTTGCACTGAAACTGTCTTTTGGATCCCATTGAAGTCTATTATATGGAGAAAAATCCTGGAATGTTTTCATCAAAAACCTTAATTTCTTCTCTGCTGAAGAAAGTAACACATGGGCATCTTGGATGACATGGGGGTGAGTAAATTATCAGCAAATATTTTAAAAAAAAAGTGAACTACTCCTTTAAGTTAGGTCTAAAACACTGTAAAATGCTTCCATTTTGAATTTTCTAATTAAATAAATGTTTTTCATTGGACACAATATTATCTGCCTATCAATTTCTGTGGAAAAAAATATGAGCTGAATTCTTTATAATAATATTTTATATTAGTAGTAATATTAGTGTTGTTGTTATTATTAATAATATAATATATCATTAATTAATATTATCGTTGCTGTTGTAAAATAAATTAAAGAAATGCAAATGTGTCTTATTTTTCAAAATCCTCTCACTCTTTCTCTTTTCTGTCCACCAGACTTAGTTTTTAATCGCTTAAACTTTGTAATCTCCTTCCTTGATCTTGTTTTTGAGTGAGTGTGGGTCTCCAGTGCTCCATCGCTGTAATTAAAATATCCCTGGGCCTCTCAATCTGAGGCAAGGGTGAAATTCTTTAGCCAGGACATAATCTAGTTTCCACTTTTTATGAAGCATGACTAACCTGATCATCAGAAACCCCATAAGCAAATACAGCCCACATTATTCTTGTTGAAATAACTTTTTTTTAAACTAATTTATGGATGGGAAATATGATAGAGTAAACAATTCTTTTGAAATACTATTTCCCAGGGTTTCAGGTTTCCTGCATCTGAGAGGAGTTAATTATGTGCTTTTTGCTTTTTCCTGGGAAATCACCTTGCTAATTTTTTGCATCCGGTTATCCGCTGTGGCTTTTCATATAAGTGACTCTAGAGCCAGTACAAAGGAGAATCCCGTCTCATGGAATTCTTTGATTCTATTTTAAGGAGAAATCCCTTCTAGAATGGAAAAATGGCTGATGACATGCTTGATAAAGTGCTTCCTGCCCTGTTACTATTGTTTCTGTGCTGTGTTATTCATAGAGGTGGACATCGCACACACAAACACATCCTTCCTCTTTTCCATATGAGACTTGGGCATGTGCTATAGGACCTAATACATGAAAAAAAGAACAGCTCTCATATGTTACTTACAAAAGTAGAACGATTCACTGCCTTTTTTTAATTGATTTTCTACCTTTCTCCAGGTGAGCACTGGTGTTGGTATCCCAGTGGCTTCACAGCTTAGGAAGACCTGTGAACCGGTCACGTTCCAGACCTCGCCAGGAGCTGTCACTATAACCGGTCCTGCATTGGACATGAATGACACGAAATGATTTAGAAGTTGGATTTAATCATCATGCCACACTAAGGTTATCAGCATGTCTGGAAGAGTGAGGAATTCTGGGACAGAGTTTGCACGATACAGTGGTAGAGAGATTGTAATATAGACAATGACCTTGTTGCCCTAACATTCATTCCGATGTTGTTTCCATTAAAGTGGCATGCACCGGAATTTGTGTTATCTTCCCCCTATTGTGATGTAGGCCTACACTGTTGTGTCCAAAAGTGATGTCTGGAGGGAATATTTGTTTTTTATTGGCCCTGCAATTTCGATTAAACAATAGAAATAAAATATATATAAAGTTAGACATTGTGAGATAAAAAGTTGCATCTTGAACTTGAACTTTTTTTTTATTCCGTAGCGGAAACAAGCTTCCATTCCATCTAGTGTCTGATTATAAAAATAAGTTTAACTCCAATCAGTATTTCTTGTCCATAAGTATATTTACGCTCTTATCCCTTAATTTCAGAGTCATAATACAATAACACTAAAATACGCAAATTCCTCAAGTATGAAATAATGTGATATTTAGACTACTGTTAAACCTGTAAGAGAACCCCACATGGACTGAGATTACCTAATCCATACCTCATCCATGGTACACAAACAACAACAGCAACAACAAATGTTGCAATTTGTTTAGCCTATATTTAGCCACCTTAATTAAAACATGTCCCACTGTAAACTGGACAAACAGTTATAAAGTATAGAAGTTAGACAAAGGTTCTCAGTTTCATTGAATCATTTGAATTCATTTGAATCAATGACAGTTGGTTAAAAACAGGGAAAAACAGATCTAACCTTACATTTCATATAATTGTACGGTAAAAATCTTTTAAATATACTGCTTTTATAAGTAAAAAAAAAAGAACAAATCATCTTATAATGTACACTGACAAGTCGTAAACTGACATTCTCCGAATTCCATGGGTTTTCATTTGAATAATTATATTTCTTCTTTGTTGTTTTTGTCAGTTTATCAGTTTATCAGTGTTTTACGTTACATCTTATGTTGTTAAATGAATGATAATTACATTACTTTGCACAGCTAACAGCCATAAAAACGTCAGGATTTTTCTTGCAGTGAAGTTCAATCACAGTGCACACCCCTTCTTTATTCCTGTTGAACTTCTATCATATTGTCAACTTATGGGTCTAGCAGAAGCCTCAGAGAAAGCTTTTCCATATCCTCTGGCTCTTAATCCCATGCAGAATGCGGTTATAAGGAATTATATGCAGGTTCACTGATTCAAGCAGTCTGACTTTGCTTTAAAGCAACAGTCTGTCTGTGTGTTTTGCTAAACGAGACATTGCTATTTGATCAGGGCTGATCTCCCTTTTCACGACTGAAAATCCACCCGTGGGGCTGGAATTTCAGACATGTCTGTTCAGGGACAGCAGAATGTTACCACCCTGTGTGAAAACAATGGCCTCTGGCCTGTTCCGTTGTTGCCTTACTACATACTGTCAATGTATATGTGATTATACTGAATTTATTTGTCCCGGGGAGAAAGAACAGGACATTAGTATTCCAGCCAGGTCAGTGTGTTAGTGATCCCGGGAGAAAAGAAACCTAAACACTAAGCACATGACAGCTGAATCATGTGAGCGATTCGATCATAGGGCACTAACAAGGCAAAAATTAATCTAAAGTAGCAAAGTTGTTGACGCAGCTGTGCAGAAAGGCCATTTTATTTCTCAGCACAAACAATCTGATCATAGTATATCAGGCCTCACGGTTAAGTTCTACACTGGATTAAATTAAAAACTGAACTTTAAACGGCTGCGGGTCGTTACTTCAAAACACTAAATGTTATTACATAAACAGTGAGCCATTATAATTTTCATTAGGCACATGATGTTTTTTGCTTCTGTTTGGGGCCCAAGAGACATGATTAATCAAATAATGATGAATTAACCAACATCACTGACTGTATACAAAATTTGTCAACAGTTTACAGTGGCCCTGAAACATTTTCGGAAGCTTAAATCACACCCATGGAAATGTCTGAATTCCATTGCATTCATATAGATATAATGCATTACATCCATTGCATGCAATAACTTTGTGTTAACTTATATGTAAAGACTGTATCAAAAATGAGCAGAATCTGAAATTGGAATTGTGACTTTTGTCCTCCATTATCAGGGCAAGTTGTCACATGTGCTTTGTAAATATTATAAATTACTTATACAGTTTATAAACTAAAAATGCATATGATAACATTTACATTTGCTGTTTCCTAATGATTTGTTTCACTATTGAGCTAAAAATTTATAGGCTTCCAATTAAAAGGCTTCATTGTGACAACAATGAAAAACATTAAATTTTTTCCCTTGGCAATATGAAAATATTCAAGGGTTATTTATAGACATTTATATAGCCTACTGTAAATATAGGCTACATACACTCTAAAAAAATGCTGGGTTGTGTCAACCCAAATTTGGGTCAAATATGGACAAACCCAAATGTTGGGTTAAAAATGTAATTAAAAAATTAAAGTTGAAGTTGGGTTAAAATTTTAAATAAAATGTATAACTCAATATTTGGGTTTGTCCATATTTGACCCAAATTTGGGTTGAAACAACCCAGGATTTTTTTTTTAGAGTGTAGCTACAGTATATTCACCAGAATTCCATAGCTCATGATAAACTTTCATGGCATTTCAATCCACATCATGCACTTTTAGTGATAAACAATCTTTGATGTAAACATTTTAATTATTAATTCAATTTATTAAAGTCTTGACTGATGTTAAAGAATCTCACCTTGAGCGCATTTGCCCTTGTTCTGAATCTTAATCTCGGTTTGTTTCTCCTTCACTGCTTTCACACTCGCTTCTTTGAGCGCGCAGCCGCTGTTATAGTTGACGCCATCAGTGCCGCACACGGGATAGTTGCTCTTGCACACACACACCCCTGATTTGGTCTTCTTGTCTTTGTCGCTCTTGACGCACTCGAGTCCCGACGCGCAGCGCTTGGCCGAGGGTCCGCGTCCTCCGCACGGCTCTCCCGCTCCAGACGCGCAGATCTCGCAGCAGCCGCACGCGTCCAACAGCGCCCCTGACGAGCAGCCCTCGGCCGGCAGCGGAGCGCACTGACTCGGGTCGCAGGTGCCGCAGCTGCGGGGCAGCCGGTCCGCTGAAGACACCGCGAACAGTGGTAATAACATAAAGCAGAGCATGGTGAGATGTGGAGGGTCTCAGGCTGGTTCAAAGTCTGCTGCTTCTCTCTGCTTGGGATGGAGGTACTAAAACCCGCCCATGCAGGGACATGAACTTACAATAACACAAGTAAACATACCCTCCTTTTTTGGCAATGATTTTGGAAGCTCGTTTGCATATCGTGGTTCTATTGTGTTATTGGTATTATTGTGGAATGGATACAGTGATTCAGTGGAATGGATTGGGTTTTCTGATGGATTTAGCTAGATGAGAAGTTTTTGGTAATTGCTAGGGTATTTTGGGTAGTTGCTGGGGTGTCAAAGGATCCCACTTTCAAGTATGTGACAGATATATTTTAATGAATAAATAAACATTTATATCATGTAAAAATAATACTAAGCGTGATATTCTAAAGATAACATACTAAAATATTACAACGAAAAAGTGGTTCAAATTTGGTTAAAATGTACTCCAATCCAACTCAGATTAGTTATATCAACATGAAGAGAAACGTTAAATTCCGATTTATTTATATAAATATTTTTTTTTATTTGATATTTTTATTGAGAAAGAAGAAAATCATTGAATTGATTTTAAAATATTTTCAATTAGAACACAGTTAAAAATTTAACAATTTTTTTGCTTTATTTTTTCAGGTAGGCCTATGCCTTGAGGATACTTTCAAAAATATTTAAAAAACTGTTACCGACCCTGTTACACTGTTTTCTCAAATTTTTTTTTTTTGAAAAGCCAAACTGAAAAACTGCCTTTTAATATTGTAGTGACAGTGTACGTGACTCATGTCAGTTCCTCAATCAATGATTTGTTTCTGCCAGGCCAACACTAATAACAAAATGGAGGACTATTCCTTTTTTTCACAAATAATTTTTATTTTTTAATATCATCTTAAAATTGTTTTTTATTGGAGTCTCTTTCCAAATGCATTTGTTCATAAACATGTCCTGTCTTCATACTGAGATTCCTGGCTGAAAGGCAGATTTTTTTTTTTTTTTGTCATAGAGTATGAATCTACCGGTTTGCACACATCCACATGTTTGGTTCCACATTTTCAGAAGCTGATGCACTAATAATCTGCAATGTCCAGGATCCATCTATTTGATGTATTTTGCTACAAAGGCAGCTGCAATGTCTTTGTATGGAGTTTCTGAGTCCAACCGTGTTGGAGGAATCCGACAGACGCCCCGGAAGCGAGGGGATCTCATGAGCAGGTTATGTGCCAGTCCAACACAACTGGAGCCGAGCCAGTACAGAGACATGGACTATGAATCAGGAAAACAGAAAGAACAAAACAAAATGAACAAATCTTTTTCCAAGTCAATTTGTTCGTTTCGTTCATTGAACGAACCAAATGTGATGAACGAGTTCGAACAGGAGAGTCATAAACGTGCATCATAGAATAGAGCAAGGCGACCATTTGAGATTATAAAACTTAAAATTTGTTATTTTTTTTTAAATGAGCAATCGTTTCGCTTGATAAGACCCTTATTCATCGTCTGGAATCGTTTAAAGCCCTTTGAACAGTTTGCAGTTTGCACTGAAACTGTCTTTTGGACCTTGAATCGTCTGGTTCCCAGTTTTATATGGAGAATTTATATGGAGCATTATATGGAGAAAAATTCTGGAATGTTTTTCATACTGGAATGTGAGTAAATTATCAGCAAAAGTTTTTTCAAAAGTGAACTACTCCTTTAAGTAAGAAAGGCCTGGAGACACAACACAAATACGTCTACAGAGAGATAAGCAGGAGACATCCATTTGTACATCTGCTGGAGATACTGTATCGGGGCAAAGTTGGGCTACACAAACACAACCCTTCATATGCCCCTTCTTTCACAAGATCAAAAGTGTCAGAACATATCTGTCTATGTACCGAAGACATCATGTTCCACTGTTTCTTCTCTTTTGGAAAAACATCATTCCCAGGCTGAGAATATGCCGGGATACTTACTGACGGGACTGTGGCGGCTATGGGAATCATCACCAGAGATATTCCTCTGATGAAGTGTGTCACATACTTCTGGAACTTTGAAGCCTCTAGTTGTCTCAGGGCAAAAATCTAGAAAACCATATCAAAAATGAAAGATAAGAAACAAGCAAAACACTACCTGTAAAATAATAAAACTTGCAAAGAACCAGTCATATTTCACCCCAAATTAAAATGAAAATAAATGAAAATGAGACAAATATATTCAAATTACACTTTGACAACACTTTACAATAAGATTTCATTTGTTAACATTGGTTAATTAAAGTAGTTAAAGGGATAGATCACCCTAAAATAAAAATTCTGTCATTAATTACTCCCAAACCTGTAGACTTTCGTTCATCTTCGAAACTCAAATGAAGATATTTTTGATGAAATCTGAGAGATTTTTATCCCTCCATTGACAGTCCACACAACTACCACTTTGACGCTTCAAAAAACAAAAGGGATCGTAAAATCATAATTAATATAAATCAAGCAGTTAAGTCTTGGTTTTGAGTTCCGTCAAGAACCAATGAGGTTTGTTCTCACGCATCAAGGCACATAGAGTTGAGCTTCTGTTTATGTTTGCTGATCAATATTAATATGCGAATAAATTAATTCTTTTGGACTGAACTGCTCAAATCATAGGATTTTTTTTACGATCTCTTTATGAACTTTTTGTAGCATCAAAGTGGTAGATGTGTAGCTGTCTATGGAGGGACAGAAAACTCTTAGATTTCATCAAAAAGATCTTCATTTGTGTTCCGAAGATGAACGAAAGTCTTACGGGTTTGGAACGACATGAGTGTGAGTAAATGATGACAGAATGTTGTGTGAACTAACCCTTTAACATGATCTAACAATGAAAAATACTTCTAACACATTTATTGATCTTGATAAATGGTCATATCCACATTTACTAATACATTTTTAAAATTCAAAGTTGTATTTGTTAACATTTGTTAATGTACTGAACGAACATGAGCAAATAAGATTTTTACTAATGTTAACAAAGGTTAACAAATAGTAAAATATATATATTTTTTAAATAAATTAAAAAAAGTAAAATATATTGCTCATTGTTAGTTGATGTCAGCTAATGTTAACAAATGACATATTATTAAAGTGTGACCAATTATTTTACATTAGATTAACAATTATGATACATTATTGGAAATTGTATTATGATTATATGACAATTAAGAAAAATAAATGCAAACAAATAAATACTATAACCCTGTGTGGCTTGACTGTGTATCTGTGTCAGTATTGCAAGGCTGATGTGTTCTTCTGTTTTGAGGAGCTGATTGCAGAGATCCTTACCGATTGAGAACACCTAGTCCCAGTGCGCCAGAGGAGATAAAAGCTCCACCTTCAAGATCGTCGGGCTCTCTGATCCTTGCTACCAGCAGTCATTTGTTTTGGTTTTGTTTCATGCTTGTTTTTATTTTAACACTACAACACTTTACGCCACGACCACTCATCCACACTTACATAACTGAGGTTGCTGACTAACCCATCCCATTATTCAGGTATTGTTTGATTACTTTACGTTATAATAAACCTTGTTTAAATCAATTGCTGAGTCCTTTCCCAGTTTTTGTCATGGCCTTTTGAGCTCGGTCATGATAATACTGTATGCATGTATGTGTATATATATACATATATATGGTATCAGACATTTGAACCCTACTGTATGTGTATTTATATACATATACAAGTGCTGTGATGCACTTATATATAATGATCATCAGTAAATATGTGATGATATATAATAACCTCTGTGATGAGCAAGTTGATGAGGCCAAGAGAAACGGGAATGATCCAGGTAGAGTCTGGGAGAGTGAGGTCTGGGAACCAAAGAGCGCCCCCTGTTGCTAAACCGGCTTCTGATGCTGATGAGTGTGTGCAGAAATACGCATGTTAGTTCATTAAAAGCCTCTCTTCAGGTGATTATGAGGAAGCTGGTTGCATTGCTAAATATATGCAACTAAAGAGCCCATCTGGAAAATGTAAGAGACTAATGGATGTGACTCACCCAGGGGAACATGTCCCATTCCCAGGCTGAGATTACGCAGGGCCAGAGACAGACACACCCACATGGGCAGCTGGACCCAGATCAGCAAACTGGCCTTGAATGGGTGGCAGTTATCTCGAACATAAAGCTCAGACACGATTCGCTTCAGATTCTTCTTAAAATGAAACCTGTAGATGCAATTGTTGTAATTAAGCCAAAGGTTGATTCAATTCTTTAAAGTTAGAGTGTAGCTGAGAAATGAAATATAATACTGATTTTATCAGGCCATGCTGGTGTGAGGGAGAGAATCTATATATAAACCTATATATATATATATATATATATATATATATATATATAAATCTATATCTATATATATAAAATATATATATAAACAGCTTTAAAAAATGCATTAGATATTACAACTTGTTTTAATATTGAATATAGTTTAGAAATATTTCAAACTTTAAAATAAATATATTAAAATAAATGTATACTTTAAAATAAATACTTTAAAATTTTTGACAATTGTTTTGTTCATTATATTAAAATCTCACAAAAACAAAATCCCAACAAAGCGAAAAACAAAAGACGTGCATTTAATGTTATATTCTCTGAAAAACGAATCTAAAATTTAGCAAGATAGCCAAAGATCGGTTTACACTGATTTAAAATTCTAGACACGAGAAGACCAAATACAGGCTAGGGGAACTAATAATAATGTTAAAAAACCTCAGAAAGTGACAATTTCATGTCAGGGGACCTTTAACCCAAGACAGAGGCTGTGTCCCAAATTGCAAACTTCCCTATATAGTTATAGTAGACAAAAAAACAGTAAAGAAGTACGTCCAAATTCACAGTACTCTAAGAATAGGTAAAATGTCCCCGCGGATGACCTACTACTACTGGCGAGATTCTGAAGTGTGCAAACAAACGATGGTGACTTTACTATCCCATGAGGCCACAGGACAGGATTTGTGAATGGCAGTGAAGCGGCGCAACTGACGTTGGTTGGTCATGACTATGACAACATTGCGAATGTAGTACGTCCCAATACATTCATACTATATATAATATATTTTCTTAGCGCTCACAAAGTACGCAATTTTGGAGGGAGCCAAAGTAGACGAAGAAAAAATGATCTCCTACCTGCATGCTTTCTCTGACCAGCCCTTCTCTTTGGCTTTCACAGAGATCTCAAAGCGTAACTGGTGGGCTAACACAGATATCTCCTTCTGCAGAGCTTCGACCTAGCTGAGGCAAAAGGGCACATGGGTTACTTTTTTCCCCAGCCTGAACTCATTTCTAAGTATTTCCCAAACGTTACAAAGTCCCTGGCCTATAAAATCTGTAATTCAAAAACTGAAATACCAGTGTTTTGACTCAGTTTAATAAATTGCAACATTTTTTTGGATAGAGGGACACCCACATATATTCAATGGCTACAGATCAAACTCGATTTCAAAATGGCCTCTTTACTTGTTCAGATATCAAGACTTTAGTTTAAAGAGACAGTCTGACATGCTACAGCTAATGTTCTCACACTGGGACATCAGTAGGGAACGTAGAAAATGGGGAGGAACATTCTTTTGCTTCAATTCTCCTTCTTGGCAAGAGAAACATCCCACAGCTGGGAGAGTGGGAGAGTAAGAGAGAGATTCTTAAAGCACATAATCTCCAGTGTTTTCTCTTCGATATCAGCTGACCTCCAAGATGTGCCTCCCACACTGTACTAAGTGCACATAAACAAAGAAATTCACTTTAAACCTAGTCATGTATATATTTATTGAAAGGAACTTATTGTGGGAAAAGAGCTTTTAGTAGGATTTTGAAATCTGCATTTGATGTACCAGTCACTCACATGGCAAAGCCCACTCAAAAAAGTTCAGAAATCACTACAACCAAAACATGGAATAGACATCCATCGCTTGAAGCTTTTAGTAACAGTGACATGACGGCCAAGTATTGTAACCCATACATGTAGGGATGCACGATATATCGGCCAGTATATCGGTATCGGCCGATATATGTTCATTTTTAATGTTATCGTTATCGGCCTGGTAAGAAAATGTGGCCGATATATTAAAGCCGATAAATAATGTATTATTCCCTTCAGCTGAGACACTTGTGTAGAACTGTTTATGTTTTTGAATTTCTTGAAATATGATTGAAATCTCTTCAAAAAATGAAAATACGGTTCGGTACAACTGTCATATCGGCTATACAACACTATAATGAGAATAACATTATAATTGTGCTCTTGGGACATTGATTTAATTGTGAGACTTTTGTATTTGTAATCAGGCTCTCAAAATTTGATAAAAATTTGGATTTAAGTTTATCGGCCGATATATCGGTTATAGGCTTTCAAATATAAAGAATTATCGGTATCGGCTAAAATTTTCATATCGGTGCATCCCTACTTACATGGAATTTGTCCTCTGCATTTAACCCATCCGAGATAGTGCACACACATTTAGAGTAGTGAACACGAACACACACACACAGTGATTGGGCGTTATGTGCCTTGATGTCAAGGGCACCCCAGTCATTTCCTGCCAGTATTGAGAGTCAAACCTGCAACATTTGGGTTACCAGTCTGACTCTCTAACCATTGGGCCATTTTATTGTTCTACACAGTGTGAGGGGTCAGCAAAAAGGTGGAATAGAGGGTATGCACGTGACGTCACCGTCGGCCAGAGTTCCTGCAGTTACTCACAGTGAGTGGCAAAAAGACTGAGCGGCTGTATTTGTTTTCAGCGTGAATGTCGCGAAAAACAAACACAACACATATAATGTGGGAAAGAGATTTGTGATTGACTGTACAACTAGATTTGACCAAAAAATCGGAGGTATATTTTTACAGACTGCTATAGAAAGAGGAGCAAATGGATCAACTGGACTCGTCAGCGAAAGGTGGATTTGCAGTTATCATTTTATGTCAATTTAGGTGTAAAACCATCCCCATATATTTTATATTGTTATATGTATATTAACAACTCATCAATTAAATATTTATCATGGCATATTCTGCATCATTGCATGTTTTTTAATAAACTCTGACCAAAAAAATTAAATAAATAAAGTTTTACCTGATCACCTGGATTTAGACCTACCTATATTGTATTTATATAAAGAGTTCACAGGCAAATTTGCTTTATGTTTAGGTCTATATTGCTTTTATTTCCCCGGTGTCGAAATCAGGCAAACATAAATGTCAGGGAACACGATTCCTGGCTGCATGTCAATATCCATAAATCACTGGATCTTTAGTAAGTTGTAAGGAACACTATATTGAGTCTAACATTAAGTTTAAATTGATAAAATTGTTTGTTTTAGTCGCATTTTCGCAGTTTCCCCTATTAAATCCAGTCAGTCAGGCTGAGGGGGGTTGTTCCGGCGGGAAAGTGACGTCAATGCATTCCCTCTATATCATGTAAATCATTTTTTTTTTGCTATTGTTTGGGAGAAAGCTGAATATATCCTTTTAAAGAAAAGACTAAATGGGCCTGTGAATTAGCAGAAATAGGTGAAAAGTATTTGATGACAATACATTCATCTCAACATAAACTACCATTCAGAAGTTTGGGGGTCAGTGAGATTTTATGTGAAAGAAATAATACTTTTAATCCGCAAATAAGCATTCAATTGATCAAAAATGAAGAAAGTGAAAACTATTATAAAGTTATACAATTTTTATATTTCAAATAAATGCTTTTATATATCACTTTTTATTCAAATAATATTTTTAATGGTTTCCACAAAAACACTAAGCAGTTTTAAACAACTCTTTCCAACATTGATAATAATAAATGTTCCTTGAGTATCAAATCAGCTTATTAGAAAGATTTCTGAAGGATCATGTGTCATGATGCTGACAAATTCAGCTTTGCATTACAAAAATAAACATTTTAAAAAATAATAGTAGAAAGTAGAAAATTGCTTAAATTGAAATAATACTGAAATAATGTATTTTTAATCTAATAAATGCAAATGGCTTCTTTTAAAAACATAAAAAAATCTTAGCGACCCCAAACATTTGAATGGTTGTGTATAGCTAAAAGAATTTAGGCAACCACAGATCCAGACAACAGCCTGTTGCTGAAATGATCTAGCAGCACCTTTGCAATGATGATCGACTGATAGATTCCCAGGGGGAGAGTGATAGCGGTGCGCAGTGTCAGTGTAGTGCACACGATGCTGGCCCACCACGGCAGTCCCGTCATCTGTTGAGTGGACACGAGGAGCTGCTCCGCGAGGTATACGGGCGTGGAGTCTGCAATGCTCTCATACCAGCTCGACCGCTCTGTGGTTATAGTTCTTCTGGGCTGAAGGCCCATGGCCGGTGTGATGGAGGGATGGAAAGACCTGCTGCAGAGAGGCTGGATGGTTTGAGTTCTGCTGTCCAGGGAGGATGAACCATGAGAGATGCTTCTGATGTGAGGCCTCAGTGTTGCTAGGTTGCTTTGGCGACATATCCGTAGAGTCACAACGGTCACCGACCTGGTAAGCTTTGGCCACATCTTTATAGTTGAACCTCTGAAAAAAGGAGGAATCTCAGAAATGTCAGCACACAAAAGCAAAACAGTTTTGTTTCTAGTTAGGCAGATTATGAAGTTATAAACAGATCCAACTATTCTATCACACCTCAAAAACGTATCCTGACTTTTGTTTGTGCAAATGCCTAGTAATTGTTTGAAGTACAGCATAGCATAATGATAACAACATGCAATAATTCACTGCTCTTTGATTATAGATTAGTTGGCGTTCTTTTTTATTTATTGATATAGATCATAACCGTTATGTTTCTTATACTTTAGCTCTCTCTTCATCTTGACACACAAACTATATGCCGGCCATATATTGCCGGCAGAGAATTCACGTTTTTATGTTCTTCATATTCTGCATTCAAATAATATTTTAATTAAACAGACCAATCATATTATAATAAAACTCAACCCAAGGAAATAACTGTGAAAAATACCAATTAAAAATAGATTAAATGTGTGTGTGTATACATATATAATGATTAATAATAAAATAAACATGCAATGATAACACCTTTAACCCGGTAAGACTGTTACAGTAGTAACCGGCTGCTGGTCAATTGGAAGAAACGTAAGAAAATCCTCACCTTTGTTTGCAGTTCCAAACTTTAGATAAGCATGTTGTTTTATCACATCCTTCGCGCGTTGAATATTTATTGAAAGATAGTTTACACAGTCATCCTTTATTTTCGGAATGTCAAATTGAGCAAGGCATGACAAGTCGCTTGAATATGACGTCACGCATTTCGCAAAACATTTGCGTCACTCAATCACTCACTTTTTTTTAAACAAATGGTGAAGAATCTATCACAAGTATTACAAAATAAAGAATAAATTCAATGCATTCTAAAAGCGTATTTATTTATTTTTCTATAATTCTGTACCCTTTTGAAATCCTCAAAATCACCACTGCGCCATCTGTCGACTGCCGCAGGTTCAACAGAGACAGTCGCGTGCATAAACAGTACAAGGCCAAGTTTATTCATCATATTTACGCATAGACTGTGAAAAATAGTGTTTACTTCGATAATTATTTTACTACAAAAGTTTAGTTATGTACAAATTATTTCCATTCCATTAGGAACAACTCACATTTGGTTATTTTGAGTGCTCGTCATATTGAGGTAAGTTGTTTTTTTGTTTATCTTGATAGCTCTGTTAGTTTTTTTTGTGTGTCAGCGTTTCCATAAAAACAAAACATACTACAAGTGCTATTATGATCATTAAATAATTCTTCAGTATATTTCAAAAGATGTCAAGATAACTTTCAAGGTTAAACTTAAAATATAAACACTATACAGCTAAGGAAACAAATTGACAAAACATCAGTTCCAGACTGAGACGTATTTGCACCTCTTTGCACAAATGTGGGCACAAATTAGCTATCAAACACTCCAACAATGGTATATTTGTAATTGTTATTATCAATGTCTTGTATAAAAGTATAAAACAGCTTTGAGGCATTTTTGGGTGAAATTTAATTTACACTGCATCATATATCTGCTCCTCAAATGTATAATACACAATGTATGTTACCACCACATAAAAGGGAAACCTATTTACAGGCCCATCTAAATTATATTTGCCCTAGACATCGATACAGTCTAATCCTGTACTTGGCCGGCAAAACAGGTCAAAAGTTAAAGGTCAGTCTAGTTGTGGGCCCCCCTAGCCCTCCGCTGCTGTGACTGCCTGCGTCGGTTAATAAGCTTAGTACTAACACGCAGTTTCCGCATACGCAGCTGGCGCAGTCGGAGCTGCAGGTCTTTGGGAATCTTGCCTCCCTTGGCCAAGATCTCTCTCAGCCGCTGTTTTGGTGTCTTGGTAAGTTGGAAGTCGCAGATAGTAGGGTAATGCTCGTACTCGACCCTGCAACTTCGAGTGGCTGGGAAATATCCCTCTGCGGTCACTGTGACGTCATAGTCACCCGGGTTCAACAGACGCCAGAAGTCCCCATCAAAAGCTGAAAAAAAGATATGAGTGTTATTTAAATGAGACCGTCTGTTTTTTTTTTCTATCCAAGTTATGCATATTTGTTTGATAGTTTTAATTGTTCTCAGAGTAGTACCTGATCTTATGTGATGGTCAATGTCATCCACTTTGATGATGGCATCAGCGATGCCGGCTTCAGTGTCTTTGTCCCTAACCACTCCTTTGATTCCTCTGTGCACCTGTTGACAAATATCGACAAATGCATTGATTGTATTGTTTTTAAGGACACATTCAGGTGTTCAGACATATCTGTGGTAGTGGTTGCGATATATTGTACCTGCTCCATGTAGACAAGGAGAGATTCTTTATTGTTCTCCCATTCTATAGGCAGCTCACTGGCATGAGGGAACTTATCACAGGACAGCTCTACGGTCACCTCAAAACAGTTGGTGTGTAGGTAACTGAAGTCATTCATACCTACAGATGAAAACACAGGTCACATGAAGCACACACCAACATATAAAAAGTTACTTTAAATTGTAATATTATTTCACAATATTAGCTGTTACTGTATTTTTTAGTGTGTGTGTGTGCACTTCATGTGACCTGTGTTTTCATCTGTAGGTAAAAACAGGTCCACATTAAGCACACTCACACACACACTAAAAATACAGTAACAGCTGATATTGTGAAATATTATTTCAATTTAAAGTAGAGCTGTCAAACGATTAATCATGATTAATCACATCCAAAATAAAAGTTTGTGTTTACATAATATTTGTGTGTGCACTGTGTATAATTATGTTATATATATAAATACACACACATGCTTGTATATATTTAAGAAATATTGTCATGTATATACTGTATATAGATTTATATTACATATAAATATAAATATGTTATATATAAATAATATTCTTTTTCTTAAATATACATGCATGTGTGTGTATTTATATATATACGGAATAATTATACACAGTGCACCCACATATATTATGTAAACACAAACTTTTATTTTGGATGTGATTAATCACGATTAATCGTTTGACAGCCCTAATTTAAAGTAAAAATACATTGTATAAAATGTGCACAGATGTGAACTTTTATCTGCAAAGACTAAGTCCCTTGATGATCTCAAAAGCCACAACAGTGTTAATTTTGACAGCAAATTTTGATTTAGTTTTAGTCTTTTGACTAAAATGCAATTTAGTTTTAGTCATATTTTAGTCATCTGAATTGTTTTAGTTTTAGTCGACGAAATTCAATCTGATTTTAGTCGACTAAATCTACAGTAGATTTAGTCGACTAGAATATAATGGGTGTATTTAGAAGAATTACCGAGAATTACGGAGGAATTACTAATAGAAGAATTATGGATGACCGTACCGAATAAAGCTCTTTTTTGCATCGTCACTCTCATTCATATCTATATGTCTGTTCTACTCATTCTCCCAGACGTTCGCATTTTTTAACGTTTTATGATCAGCACGTTACAGTACAAATGTGCGCATCTACTACTCACTCAGGACATCAGTTCTGACTGGATCGCTTCCCAAATTCGTCTAGTTTTTATTTGTTGACGAAAATGTCAATAGATTTTCGTCACAGTTTTTGTCATTAAAAATGAGTTTTTATTTAGTTATCGTCTCATTTTCGTCTGTGAAAAAATGTCGTTGACGAATAATTTTCGTCATTATTTTCGTCAACGAAATGAACACTGAGCCACAAGAGCGGCAGTACTCACTGCCTGGTACGGTGTGCCAGTTCGCTCCATTAATAATGTTATTGTAACGAAGGAAGTCTTCATTGTGGCAGGGCCTTCGGTCTGGGTTGGACATCACATGGTTGGTGCTGGCGTAAACGGTGGCCAGCCAGCGGAAAAAGCTGTCATCGGGGGTGGGCGTGTGCTCTTTAGGGGCCCAGTCTCTGGTCATGTCAAACGGGTACGTGACCACCAGCTCTCCTCCATGCAGGTTAGCGCTGAGAACAAACGGTATAGTTTGCATCCAACTGATGACGGCTCTCGTTTCTGGAGACACCTTCAATATAAAGACAAGAATAATGGGATTTATTTAAAATATTATGGCCAAATTACACGTCGTTTAAAGGAAGGGTGTTTGTTTTAATCAGTGAGACTTCATATATGATCTACAGTCATACTTTACCAAAGCTTCTTCTGAAGTGTAGTGCTCTGGAATGGGAAAGTAGTGATTGATTAGTTTTGACTTGTCTGTTTCTAGCTCGATGGCGTCCCACATCACTGTGTTCAGATCTGCAAAGTTGTGATTCATGTCAATGCCTTCATAGCTATAGCGACCCAGTGCCCATCCGGCCAGCTCTGAACCCTGTAAAACAAAACACACGTGTTATGAGGCCGTTGATTAATTGATTGCTTGGTTTAAAATATTTAAAGGAGACATATCATGAAAATCTGACTTTTTCCATGTTTAAAGGGATACTCCACTTTTTCTTTGGAAATAGGCTCATTTTACAACACCACCAGAGTTAAACAGTTGGGTTTTACCATTTTCGAAACCATTCAGCCAATTATTTAGATGATATTTAGAAGAATATCAGTAACCAGACTTTCTGACTTCCATAGTATATTTTTTTCCTACTATAGAAGTCAATCTGGTCATTTCTAAAAATTTCAGATGAGTGAGATTATTCGTGTGTTTTGTAATTGCCAGAGTATCCAAAGCCCATGTAATTGTTCGGCCATCTTCTGAACGGGGCGGAGCAGCAGCTTATTTGCATTTAAAGGGTCACACAAAACCGGCGTGTTTTTTCTCACACCCAAAAAGGGACAAATTTGATGAGCTATAATAAATCATCAGGGGGGTATTTTCCCAAAACACTGAAAAAAATTGTACCGAATCCATACATTTGAACGGTAGTGTATTGGTAGAGAAACATTTTGAAAATGCCAGAATATCCCTTGATTTTCCCACTCTACCTTTTTGTAAGCCATTTCATAGCCATCAGGGTTCATCGAGGGCAGAAGATGGATGCGTGTCTCTTTGACTAGGTGAACTATGCGCTGATTTCCCTGTTTGTACTCCTGGCAAATGTACTCCATCAGGTTGAGCAGTAGTTCCCTCCCGAGCACTTCGTTTCCATGCATCCCGGCCACATAGCGGAACTCAGGTTCACCTGCAGGGGGAGCCAAACTGTTTTTAGATTGTCGAGCTCTGTTACAGAAATTGGATTAGGTGTGTGCAGTTATTAGGAGTGTTATGGTACTTGGATATACAGATGTGTGGCTCTGTCCACCTCCTCTAGAGTGTGTGTCTGAAATCTGGCACCCTCTCTCTAGCAGCTCAGAGAGGCAGAAATCTCTGCTTGTCTGTTAAATGTTTTGTTTTCAAGTTAATTACTTTTTTCATAATTTGTCGGGCATAATGTCTGTGGCTGACATTTTGTTTTAAAATGTAATGTTTTATATTAGTGGTTTTCTGGTGGGGAGAACAACATAGTCAAAAAGAAGAGCGTCTTAAATTTTAGGAAAGAGTCAAAGCTTTAACCTATACATTTTACATTTCAGAGGGAGAAAGATGACAAATTTGCCATCACGGCTTCAGCCATGGTATAAAAACACTCACACAGCAGCATTCTAGCAACTAGTTTTCTGTAATTTAATGCCAAGGAAATATAACTTAAACTATAGTGTTATAAATATACATCATTAAAAAAAAAGAACATAAAAAACTTTGGATTTGCAATGGTAATAATAAATGTGGAAATGTGTCATCACAGTCTGTGAAAATGGTACGTAGCCTTGGACTTTAATGACACTAATTGGGGTGGATAATTAGAAAAAAGTTCAGTTTCTGATTATAATGTAGAAATGTCCTTTTTGCACCAGTATTTCCCACCATTGATTAATGTGTTTCGCAAACAACAGTGATTAATAGCTGGGATACAGAGAGAAATATTACCGTTTTAGTGTATTTTTTTATCAAAAATATTGTTTTTTTTTTAGCAAACGACAGTATTTGATATCTAGCAGACTGAGAGAAAGCATTCAGTAGTTTACCAATAGACCTATGTAAAATAAAATAAAAACTATTGGGTGTAAACTAGTGGGGAAAAATGCTTTTTAATGTGGTAGAACATGAGCTATAGATTTGAGAATGCTAATAAATAAGTAGCGTGCTAAAACATAAAAATGAATCTGTAGTCACCAGTTTCTGTCTCAGAAAAGCGGTACTTAAATTATATACAGAATAACGATAAAGAAGGATTCAGGGATTTGTGTCCTTTTTCAATTATAATATCATGATATTTAGGATACAATTCAGGATACAATGAAACAAAAAAAAAAAAAAAAACAGGCACATTTATTGTGCCATCTCTCAGAATTTTAAGCTAAAACAGGAAATAGCCTATATGTGCAGCTAAACTGCATCTGTGCATATCTAACCAAGCATGGTTGATTTATTTCTATAAATATTGATTCGGCTCTTGAGGAGCACAAGTTGTGTCTGTTTTGACAGTGAAGCTGAGCGTCGTTAGGAACAGGTCCTCTGTGAGGTTAAATCCCCCCTCCTCTTTCTCTGCAATATTTGGCTAACAGTTGACCCATTCAGTCTCAGCAATCTGGGTCTCGTTAGCCTTACTGAGAAAACAACACCCATCCCACGGAATTTCCAGAGGAGTAACTAACTGAACTTTGACCCCCACATGCAGACCACAACATTGATATGCCATTGATTTAAATGCAGACAGGAAACGCATGAGTCTGTCTGGAAACCCCCGAAACAACAAGCCAAAAAAGATGATATACCCATCAGCCAGGCTAGGAAATAATGAAAATGTCTCCTCTCCTGTGTAGAGCACAGCAGCCATGTTCTACAAATAATCATTCTCCAAAGAATTATTTATTTATTTATCAGTAGCATATACAATTTTCAAGACAGATGTGCCATGAAATCAAGTATCTTTTTTTACTTTTTAATATTGTTATTCATCTCTGAGCTTGTTGATTTGGTTTAAGGCATCGAACTTGAGGATCAAGGCTGCTTAAAAAGTATTTGGTCACTGTTGCGCTTATTTTGTCTCTTTATATTTATATATCAAAACGGATTTGAAAAAATGAACGGTTCATTTAGATGGAGAATTGAATACGAAAGGACTGTCAATGTGTTTCAAAAAAGCACTGATTACAATAATGATATTTGGGTGTGTTATTCGACCTCAGACATCATGCGTGTGGCTTGTAACACTAGAGCACACAAATACACTTTTATATTGTTCCCATTTCATAAGCACAGCCAACATAAAGCTAATATATTTCCAAAGAGGCCATAACTTTTGGATTCTTGTAGGCTGGCTTTTCTCCACTGCATGTGTCCGGAGAGACTTTAGATTAATCAAGTCAAATTTCCTCTTAAACAGAATCGCCACATGCTTTGATCCACTCATGTGATTTTATAACACAGACTGAGGTTATTTCTTCCCACTTTCCTTCTCTAGACTCTTTCTGAGGTCTGCCCTGGCCTTCTGCGATTGCATCCCTGGCTCCAGCCTGCATTATGAGTGCTGGCAGGAGATGAGTAAACCACTGCCAGAGCTGGCAACCTCTCTCACTGAGGAACCAATTTCTAACCCACAGGCCAATGCAAACAACTAGAGTTGCCCAGTGTAAATAGAAAGGGCAAATCAGACTGAATGAGAGTGAGTGAAAGAGAGGCAGAGGGTTTTGGGCTCTGTTCCAATTGCTATCGTTACAGCATAAAAACTAATAACTGCGCCCATGTCGAATCCATGCCCAAAGAGCACCACAGACAACTCCACATACCCTTTGTTGTCACATGTTCATTTAGTTCAATATATTTTACCATGTTTAAATCCATTCCGGAATTCCACAGATTTTCCCAACAAAATTTGCATTGAAAATTGAAAAGTCTATATATTCCACCTGGGTATTTTACACAACATTAGAATCCTATAGCTTGAAGAGGTCTGGTGTCATTTCACCTTATTTTTTTTTTAAATATTATTATAATTTTTTTATCAGACACGTTGAAAGGATTGTTTTTATCCAATAAAAGGTTGCATTATTTAAAAGCAGTTAAAAACTTGTAATTTCTTGAATTTATCCTAAATGTTTGCAATTTAAATGATCCAGGTTAATGCATGATTAAACACTGTATAGTTAGTGGTAGGCTAACTTGTGTTGGGACTCAAACTCACCCAGCTCATGTTTGCCTGGATTGTCTGAGATTTCCATCACATACAGTTTAAGGCCCATGTAGCTTTTGCCAATGCTGTAAATGCGGGTGATATCAGGACACATCTCATTCACAGACTTCATGAGCTGAAAGACAAATGATGATCAACTCTTTCACAGCTTATTCTTACATAATGTACATCAAGGACACATCAATTCAAAGTGATAGTAAAGATATTTACAATGTAACAAAAGCATTCATCAATTCATTAATCATTATCCCGAATTTTCCACAAAAACATTAATTAGCACAACCGTTTTCAACATTTGTAATAATATTAAATGTTTCTTGAGCAGCAAATCAGAATATTAGAATGATTTCTGAAGGATCATGTGACACTGAATACTCGAAAAATCGGATGTGCATCAATTTTTGCAAATTTTCAAATAGAAAATTATTTTAAATTGTAATAATATTTCTCAATATTACTGATTTTAATATATTTTTGTTTAAACAAATGCATGCAGCCTTTTTAAGCATAAGAGACTTCTTTCAATAACATTAAAATCGTACTGACCCCAAATTTCTGAAGTATGACAGCACAGGAAACAAGCATCCAGGACTGGAGAATAAACTAAAACATTCCTTCCATTTATCTTTCTGTATATAAATGTGGTTATTGCTACCTGCCCGCAGGCTTGTGTTAATGTAGACACTGTTGCATGATGGTGGTCAGACTGACCGCAAGTGATCCGCAAGGCAGCTCACATACTGACGTGAAAATCTGGGAAAATGTTTGTTTTCTAGCCAGGGCTGATTTTTAGATCATGCAGTCATCCATCTCTGTCAATCTGCGGTGGATTGTTATAGCATGTTCTCATTTTAAAGAGCAATTTATGAATCATAATTCTCCTTTCATTAGCAAAACAATACTTCATTTTATATATATATATATATATATATATAATATATATAGGTATTGTTAAAATGTCAGTATGTCAGTGGGTTGCACCATTTCATGCTGACTAGCAACAACAAAATAAGAGAAGAAAAGGCTCCATCTTCCTCACCTTCCTCATCTCTTTGTAGTTATGATGTCTGAAGTCCAGTTTGTCCTTGGTGCCTTCCTCAGCTTGCCAAGGGTAGATATTGTTTGGATCTTAAAACACGATGTACAGTTAATGAATATTATGTTTTATATATACGTATATATATATATATATATATATATATATATATAATATTATTACATTATAATTACATAATATATGAATATTATGATAAATATTAGTGTCAACACTGATGAACGTTAACGTGCGAGCTGCAGGTTTGTTGTCTGCTGCTTTAAATGCTCAAGCTCTTTTAAAGCTTAATGGATTCTGATTGGCTGTCAATGTTTTTATCGTTCATCAGCTCCTCAAAAAATCTAAGTGATTCCAATGACATCGTTCCTCTGTTGTCGTGTGGACTCTATCCCTATCATTATAGTTAATGTCCTTGGTGTGAAGGGGCCTTTACTGTGGCCATTTTTGATTTTCAGTAGTACATTGTTATCATTTACTTATGTAACCAGCCCCCAACAAGGATGCGAAACACAACAGTCTCAAGCGTTTATGATGTGTAAAAGAAAGACCTTCCATATGTGAGATCAGTGAAAGGTTTGTTGTTGGCATACCTGGCAGCTCACAGCCCATGATTTCAGCTCTCAGGCAGATGGTCCCATTCTTAAACCAGGTCTGAGGGTTAATACGTATGTATTGTGCCACTGCTGGTTTGGGCAAAATGGCCAAGACGGACGTTTCGGTGTCCTTGTTCCCCTCAAACACCTGTTAGCATACAAGATCACTTCTGGTGAGTGATCCTATTGATGCGATCCAAGTGACATTTGCCAGTGGCAGCTGGCACAGTCAATGTCCAAGGAGGGCACACGAGAGGCTGGCACGGTTCAGTCCGCAGTGGGCAGGCTATTCTTTTCAAAAGAGCCGCTTAACCCAGCCAACTGCTGCCAGCGCCTGCCTCCAACCTTTGTTAGTATAAAAGAGACTGTGCCAGCTGGAAACTGAATGGATATAATGATGTCACAAAGATACTGAGGCTAATATACACCAGCAGTGGTGAATGGCACAACCTAGTGACTGGAAAAGGGGCATATTTTAGGTGATTTTTGTTAAAGGTGCAATGTGTAATAATTTGGAGTATCTTTTAAGAGAAATGCAATACGACATCCATAACTATGTTTTCAGCGGTGTAATGTTTTTATTACGTTAGAATTAGACATTTATATCTACGTAACCGCGGGTATCATGTGAATGTGACACTGAAGATTGGAGTAATATCTGCTGAAAATTCAGTCACAGGAATAAATAACATTTTAAAGCATATTACAATTTTAAACTTTCTTTTAAATTCTATTAACACAATTTAATTCTATTTCACAATATTACTGTTTTACTGTATTTGTCATCAAATAAATCTGGTCTTGGTGAGCAAAAGAGACTTCTTTCAAAATTGTTTTGGTTTTATTTTATTTTTATAGTTGATAACAAAGAGAACAACATACCGCCTCTTCTGACCCGTTCATGCATGGCTTCCATTTAATGGTGTCATTGCTAACCTGAACTTTGTAGGTTTCTACATAGTCCCAGCTACAAAATAAGAGAGACATTGTTATTATTGCAATTTACCATTTTGTTTTATTTATGATATTATGGAAGAGACTGATATGAAGTACCTCCATATAGAGCTGCGACCCTGTAGTATCACTGCTGTGAACCGTGTGAGCTTCTTGGCATCTACCTGTAACCATTGGTTCTGATCTTTATACTGGGCACACCAAGCTCCGTCATAGATATCCCCATCCTCCACACCAGACTGCAATAGAAAAACGATTAAACAATGGTTATTTTAATATAAACACCAAAAACTGCCAAATATGCTGATGAATATACATAATTGATGCTATATTGATGATGACATGCATTTACACTACCGTTCAAAAGTTTGAGGTCGGTAAGATTTTTTTTTTTTTTATGTTTTTGAAAGACATCTCTAATTGCTATGGCTGCATTTTAAAAATAAATAAAAAAATACAATAAAATAGTAATATTGTGAAATATTATTACACTTTCAAATAACTCATATTTAATACTTAATATATTTTAAAATGTAATTTATTCTGGTGATGGCAAATCTGAATTTTCATCATTATTACGCCACTCTTCAGTGTCACATGATCCTTCAGAAATCATTCTAATATGCTGATTTAGTGTTCAGGAAACATTTCTTAATATTATCAATGTTGAAAACAGTTATTTCAGTGGAAAGTGTGATGCATTTTCGTCAGGATTCTTTGATGAGTATAAAGTTCAAAAGTTTAAAACAGATATCTTTTGCGATATTATGGTTTTACTGCCACTTTTGATCAATTTAATGTGTCCTTGCTGAATAAAATTAATAACTTTTTTCCAAAACCAACAATAACTGACCCTTACTGAACCCAAACTTTTGGGCAATAGTTTGTGTTTATGAATACAGAATAAATATGAGGTGCATTCTGCGGTGTGGCCCACCTGTATGTTGAGTCGGCCCCTGTGTGGCCCCAGGCCCATGCGCTTATAAGAGGAGGCTTGAATCTGTGAGTCCTTAACTTTCAACGACTCCAGACCCAAAGGAGGACACTCTGAGAAGGCAAAGAGATATGAAGAAGTGGAAAGGAAATAGAGAAGATTTTGAGAGCAGAAGCATCACATCATTTGCCCCTCATATTTTTGAGCCAATCAATTTTGAATGCAATTTATCAAAAACATTTGAGTAAAATCAGTCCATGATATTTGACAGTCGATGCAGCTGCAGGGCAGACAGGAAACTGTTGTTTTGAGGAGTTCAGCTTGTCCCTTCCGCTTTCCAAATACTTTCTCTATTTTCTTTTTTTTTGTGTTGTCCTGTGTTTTTTTTTTGAAGCCTTTAGGATCTGCAAACTGCTATTCCATTGTGTGACAAACCCTGCACAAATGATTGAGATGGACGTGGCCTGTAATTTAACTTTATGCTGTCTTCAAATGCACCTGTGAAACTATATACCTCTGTACGAGTCAGGTGTTCATTATAAAGTCAAGCATTCAACATAACGTGGAAGCTGCCTAAAGGGAATATATTGTGGGCAATAAACTTAAATAACTACATCTGAATTCAAAATGATGAAAAACATTTCTATCACTTATTATACATGGAATCAACAAGTACTATGCAAACCATGGAACCATACAGAATTGCTTTCCACTCACTGGTCTCTAGATTATAGATACAGTATATTATATGACATCATATCATCTATATTATAGATCAGTGTTTTCAACCATATTTTAAGTAGAAACACCCCTTCCAACACCACAACTCATCAACTTGGGGGTCATGCTCTTTTTATGCAAGTTTAAAGATTCTCTTTACTAACTTATTTTTTATATGTAGATCTCCCAGTTAACCTTGTGAACTGTTTAATGAGCAAAAAGCTTGGATAGCATTTCCAGAAATATCTTGTTGAACTGGTTTGCGTTATAGCAGCCGTTATTATGCCTGTTGCATCCAAACTTTTGTATCGGGACATCATGTAAAAGCAATCAGGCTCTTAGTGAGAAAAATGCACATCTAGTTCTTGTGGGTGAGTCAGTCTGATGGTTTGCGGAGTCAGCATTCCTTACCAAATCATCTGAAAGTGGGGAGATTTCCTGGCACTGATGGTGTTTAGATGGCTCAAATACTGACATGGACTACTGTCCTGTTGCCCTTTAAGTTGTTTTATACTCCAAGTGGACAGAAAGCACAGTTGTGGAGTTAAATGCCACTGGTTCATCTTTAAGAGGTGTATGGAGAGGTCTGGATGGCCTTCTTACACAACCACCTCCCCCTAAAAATCAGCTAAAACACCCCAATTCTGCAGGACATAAAAGAAGTTGAAAAGATGAGCTGTTGCTTGAGACGCTTCATTGACGATTTGTTCTTGAATGTGTCTGTCTTCATAATAAAGACTTATATTTCTAGCAGACGTTTTGTACACATGCTCATTTTAGTCAACTTGATACAACATGCGGTAGCCTATGGCCAAAACTCTCATAATTCTGACCATAGAATTCCTGAAGTTGAATATAATCTATGGAAAATCATGCTTTTCCGCTCAGTGGTTTGTTTGCTTAGTGGGGAAAACCAGTTCACTGACTGAGTGACCCAACTGGAAACAGGAAATGGACTATTAGAACAGTGTTTGAATTAGGTCAGAATTATGTAACAATGCTTGCAAGCAAATTTTATAAACTGATAATCTGGAAGTTTTTGTTTTTCTTTTGTTTGATGATGCATGTATAGATTGATGGATGGATGGTTGATGATGGATGGGTGCATAGATAGATTGATAGATGTGTGATGCATATATATACAGTAATGGATAGGGATCACATTTTGTTACTTACCAAATAACGGTGGTTCTTCACTTTCTTTTTTATGCCAAACTCTCCGTTCCACGTTTTTATCAATGTTTTCATTCAGGTCCTCTGAGTGGAAGCGCACTGGGCTGGTCGTCGTCCTTGTGGCTGTTACTGTTGGCTTCACTGTTGTTGGTTTCAGGGCTTTCGTGCTCACCTCAGTCCATTTCAAGGTGGGCTTCAGAGTTGTCGAGGGTTTCTTTGACTTCAATGGCTTAACTGTAGTGGGTTTCAGAGCTCTGGTGGTCGCCTGGGTCTGCTTGGGTTTAAATGTAGTGGTTTTCAGAGTTTTGGTGCTACCCTCAGTGGGTTTCAGAGGTCTGGTGGTCGCCTGGGTTTGCTTGGGTTTAAATGTCGTGGTTTTCAGAGATTTGGTGCTACCCTCAGTGGGTTTCAGAGGTCTGGAAGTCGCATCAGTGGATTTGATCGTCTTGGAGAATCTGCTTACCTTAGTAGGTGAGATGTTTGCATAAGTGCCGGTTCTCGCACTTCCAGTTGCAGATGTTGTCCGTGTGTCATTTAAATTATGTGATTTTTTAAGAGAATGTGAATTAGTGACTCCTCCAACTAAAACAACAATAAAAGTTAACAAAGATAAAAGTATAACGGTTGGTGCCATGGTTCACTCACTGTTTACTCCCCACTACAGTAAAATATCCCCCTGTTGCTGAATCCGAACGCATGAACCCCGTAATGTTGCAAAATCACGCGCCACTCGAGTTGCTAAGCAAATGTAAGACCATATTACTGTGAATAGAAGGAGAGAGAGAGTTTGAGGGGAATTTTTTTTGATTTGCCGGTTTTCTGTCATTGCGGGTTTTTTCTTACCAAAAACGAACGAGTTCGTTAAAAACACATTTTGAACATCAAGCCATGTACACAGACAGGTTATAGGCTATATTGTTTTAACGCCATTGCTTATGTCATTTCTTACCATTTTCCACTCTAAAAATGTTGAAGGATTGTACATCCAGTTAATTGTAGCAGCGCGCCATCTAGTTGTTGGTTTTCAGTGTATATGTCTATGGTTTTCAATAAAGACTCAGAATACTTATTATTCAGCCAAACGCACAGAACACATGCTTTTAGACACCACCTAGACGTTTTATGTCTATTATCTAACATAAAGTTTACCTATTATGAAGAAGTCAAAGAATATTTAAAATGACCAACAACATCGTAGCCTTTTTAGTTGTGTCGGTGTGTGTCCCAGTTAAAATTTAATTGCCCACTCACAAAAAATTTCATTTCCTTAATATTTTCGACGTCAGAGAAAATCATCATTTGAACGCCTTCTTCAGCGGTGAGGGAAGTAAGTAATATTTATGTATTACAATTTATCAATTGTATATTTAATTTGAATTTTCTATTAATTTTGCCATAGGCCTACTTTATATATATATATATATATATATATATATATATATATATATCCCTGTGCTACATTTTATTTATTTATTTTTTGTACATTTTTTTGCAAACCCCCAAATAAAATTAATACAAAATAAAAGATCAAACAGCGTGTAGCAATGCAGATTTTCATCTTCTTTTACTAACCGTTTGTAAATAAGAGTTTCGGCACATAGGAAGACTTTCAAGAAACTTCCATTTGTAAAATTCATGGTCAGAATTTATTTGTCAGGAATGACAACAATGTCGTCATGTTTTCTTTATTATTATTATTATTATTATTATTATTATTATTATGAACGAATAGCAAAGTAACGTAGCCTATCCAATTTCAAACATGACGCACAACAACACTTTCACCTAAAATTAGTAAAAAATATATAATTACCTCAAACCTTCCACTAGATGGCGACAAAACACTGTATATTTTTTAAAGTGACATGAAGGTTGAATGCTTAAAATACGAGGGCTGATATTGTGGAGAGTTTTTTTTTTTTAAGAAAATATTTTAGAAAAATAAATAAACGAATAAAATGCTTAAACAGCCCTGATCAATTAAATACAATAAAATGTTGTTTTTTTTATGCATGGAAAGATGTTATTTGTACTTGTGACTCATGGCTTTCATGTCCAAATTGAGCTCTGCTCAGCTTTACCATACCATATACTGTAGTAACGAGGTTAGAGACCACATCATCACCATCAATTATTAATGCATTACGCGCATCAATAAACTTCATACAACCATTTCAGAAATGTGAAAAACAGACAAACATTTCTGAGCATTTAAAGCAGTTTAGCATTTTATGATCTATCAATTATTGAATGTGTTGTTTTCATCTTTTCTTTTAGTAATGCTTGGTCTAGATTCTCTTTTTCATATAAATATTTCAGAGTGTCTTTTAACATTATAAATTAATTTAGTGGCATTATGCATTGAAGGTTAATAAACTCAAGAGGATGGAAATATGTATTATTTGATTATATAGGCCTAGTGCTTTTTAATTTTGAAGGCATATGTATTAGGCTAGTAGCACAGAACTAAAATGTATTAAGGTTTATGCGCTGGAGGGTGTAGTTTCCTGAAAAATTCAATTTACCCCTTTCTCTCTCCCCCTCTCTCTCTAACACATGCACACACCGGATGTGAGAAAAAAACATGAAGTTTGCATGGAAATTCCTTTCCTCAACCTGTCAGTTTCCCCCTGTACCACCTACAGTGAGGAGTGAAATGTCAACGCTTAATAGGAAACTTAACACTGCGAAATATTCATAACCTGCTTCACTCCTTAAATATATATGTGCTATAGTGTCTGTTGTGCTGTTATGCTGTCTAGATAGGTGTTAACATGAATTCATTGTACACTGTCTGAGCCGAGGTCATCTTTACTAGTGTATGTGAACTATTCATGTCAAAGGGATATATTTGTCAGGTGGCTGATGGTCTTATGCATGAAACTGGATTAGTAGGAACTGCAATGCAAATGCTCAACACATTCTCATCCCAAGGCGTCATCTAACTGACAATTTTGACCATGCTTCAATATCCGACGCTTTAGACACCTTTTAGCGTATCCTAGGTCGTCATCTTACTAACGCTAAAGGTAAAGCGTCAGTTAGATGACGCGGGTAGGTTTAGGTCTGTGGTAGCCTATGGTAAGGGTTAGACGCGATCCTAGGGCGTCATATGACTGGTTGCCTAAAGCGTCAGATTTGAATCATGGTCAAAATGCGAAAATGAGAATGGGCTGAAATGCTTTTTGCTCCTGTCGGTCTGCTTGGCAATAGTTGTTGTGATTATCGCTCTATAAATTGAGTAACTAATTAGACTTTGATTGTACTGATCAATTAAATAATTAAACAAGGATCTAAGCAATTATATATGTATATCAGACATTAAAATCTTTAATATATATATATATATATATATATATATATATATATATTAAAGACTTATATAGGCCTATATATTTATATATACGTGTGTGTGTAGGTGTGTGTAACAATTTGAAATTATTCCATTTAATATAATATATATCAGTCTTACATTGATGAGAAAATATAAAATTAAGTACGATTTATGTGTGTGTAAATATATATATATATATATATATATATATATATATATATATACAGATTTTTTTTCGATTTTTAATGTAAAATATATATTTAAAAGAAATATTATTCATCATACACACACATAATTATGCCTGGTTCCTTGCACTCTTCAGCCGGTCTGCTTGTAAGTTCTGAAGTCATGAGAGTTTCATTAGGAGTAGGTCTAACTGTGTGTGTGTGTCCATCCTGTACAGTGACCCAGCAGCGGTTGTGTGAGAGCTAGCTGCATGCCGCTCCTTTAATGACCTATGAGAGCTGTGGACCCAGACCATACACAGGGAACCTGAGAACCTGCTGAGCAACTTCTGTTGATCTAAGCCAGGTGAGGGGCCCACACTCCAGTCTGCAACACACACACACACACACACACACACATACAGAGAGAGAGAGAGAGAGCTGGGCACAAGACTTTAAGTGTGTGTATGGGGAGTTTTATGGCACGATTGTTGTTTGAATTATTGATAGCTCACTCTCTGATCAGTTCTTGTACATTTTATGATTCACACCAAGTGAGTTTGTGTGTTAAAGATGTCAGATTCAGTTCTGCATCTTAACATCTGTAATGGTAGTTATGTGTGAATTGAAAAGTCAACGTTCTGTCTAATAAAACTACACTCAGCCACAAAGTATCAGTGAAGTTTTTCTCCAATGTGAATACGATTTTGAGGAAACACACTGTGTGCTCTCATTTCAGTTTACTGTACCACTCAAATCAACCACAATTTCACTAAGACAGCAGGTGAGCTGCATCAATTCACAGGAGTCCATCATAGACCTCCACAGCTTGAGAAATTGAACCTCCCGTTGAAAACCGCACTGTCCTGACCTAAAACCAGAGATGTGAACAACAGCAATTAAAACACAGGACACACTCGGTGAGTAAAGTGCATTCAGATGTTTCTTTCATGGTCTTGTACAGCTTTATTTTTTTTTTCTGGGATCCGCTCAATGTGTCCTCTCATTACCGCGGTGTACTACCTGAACGCTACAGGAATTCAGAATTATAAATATTAATTCTTCCCCTCCCCCTGAAAATCTAACGGCATGCTATACCGCACTGCTCAATTATTGATTTCCAGCAGGCTTATAAAAGTATCGAAACTCGGGATTGTTCAGAAGAATTTGGGAAGTAAATTCTAAAAAATGTAATTTGGTTTAATTATTCATTCTCATTATTTAAATGCATTTATTTGACATATTTATTTTAATATTATCATATATCTTTTATATAGCATGGGATGTTTCTCAGACAAAATAATGCACGATTGTGCATGTCAATTTATGCTAATTTGCCATTTGTGTTTATTATTTAACGAAAGCCTTTGAAGTCAAAATCTTGCTAAAATTTGCATTGCATAATCGAGATTAATAGGGTAAATACATCTGGTGTGCTTTAGTGAAACGGAAGCTGCGATCAGCAGGTGGCAAAGCTTCCCAAGACATCACGTTATGGCATCAACATGCTGCAGTTTCCACTTTGAGAATTAAAAAGTTGTAATCTTATGTCTAGCGGAGCTTTTTTCTGGTAAATGTCAAGTTGACCATATGTAAAAATCGACGAGAAAAAAGTTTAACCCGCCGTAAAACTTTTTCTTCCCTCGACTTCCCCTGACTCATCCGAAAAGAATACATGGATGAAATCCCCTCCCAAGGCATTCCCCCTTCCATGAACAATAAATGTAGAGGTGTCATGTAATATTGATGGGCTCAGCTGATGATCTCCTGACGACCCCAGTTTGGTCCCTCTCATGTTGTATAAAATATGGATGATTCTTGTCCCCTTCCTGCCCCCGCCCCCTCAGCATCCCATAATGCATGTGTGATGTTCTGCTGGGCTCACTCGCACAAAAACACACACCTGGCTGCAAGAGCACAGAATGATGGGATATATAAGCACGATCTCCTGTGGTGAAGACCAGCTCTGAGGTTTCCCTTTTATTTCAATTCCAAGTCTGGAAATTCTTCATTTTCCCCTCCTGTTGTACATTATGCACCTTACGTTCCCCACTCATGCACTTCTAGCAATCTCACTGCTATCATTAGTGACATTCAACCTTTCCTCTTCAACTCTCTACCTGTTCACCCGCATCTGTTCTTTTGTCATTTTTATCCTTCTCTATCGTTCCTCCTTCCGTCGTTCTCATTAACACCCCGGCCCTGATAGATGTAGAGAGGTGGCCTACTGCTCCTTGAGAGTCTCTCCCGGGTTGCCCGTGCAGCCCTGGCACCCCGTGTTCCTCTCCTCAGACTCGGGGCCCGTGCCATCTGCCTGTCACTTCCACCGCTGGGCGCTGGGAGTCCGTGTGATGAGGCAGCTCAGTCTCTTCTGCTGCATGAAACCAGCTCATGCTGCGGCTGCTGGAACTTTTCAGCCGGTAGATAAACTGAAAGTTAACTTTTTAAGTTTATTAAACAATCTTATGTTTAAATAGAAGTTATGACGTCGCTTTGTAGGACAGCTCGGGAGTTAGCGGCGCATGGGTTCATTCGATCGAAAAGCTATGCATTTTCCCCATTGACTTTTGGAAAATCGCAAAAAATAAGATCTGCGTTCAACAAAGAGTTGTGACCCTTACACGAAGATAATCTTTACAAGTTAATCCAAAATGTATACATTTTGAAGCCTATATAAAGTAAAAAGAAACACAAGCAGACACAATAAAGTTTAAAAAACCACAAGCAGGTTATAACTGGTGTGTTTTATGTCATAGATCAAAACGTGAAAATATTTAGAGGCTTTGTTCACCACAGACCTTATTTCAGGCGATTTAATTTAGCAAAAACTCGTTAAAAAACCCATAGGCTTTAGGGCGAAGGAACCGGGAGTGCTAAAATGCTAACTGACTTCCACGTTTTGGCCTAGAGTGACGTTATAACTTCGGCACTCTATATAAAAGATCATTTTGAATTTATTCACTCAAACATTTAATTCATTCATAAATGTGCAATTTATTACATCCAGTATGCTTTAGGATTTTGCATTTGATAATATATGTAAATATACACTATCTTGCAAAAGTTTGGGGCAAGGAAAAAAAACAATAAAAAGAAAGTCATATTTTTATTCAGGAAAGAGGCATTAAATTGATCAAAAGTGACAGGAGAGATGTTTGCATTTCAAATGAATGCTGTTCTTTTGAGCGTCCTATTCATCAGCAAATCTTGACAAAGAGTATCACAATTTAGGCCTACACAAATTTTCAATTTTACAAAAATTCTATCATTAATTACTCACCCTCATCCGTCCTTCGGATGAGACTTTAAACCGAGGTCCTGACTCTCTGTGGTCATTAAAAATCCCAGGATGTCCTTCAGAAAAAGAGTAGGGGTTTAACCCCGGCATTCTGGCCAGATTTACTCCCATTGGCCTCTGTCCATCCTAATCATCCCCATATTATATATGATTGGCCGCATCACTCTGTCTCCTCTCCACCAATAAGCTGGTGTGTGGTGGGTGTTCTGGAGCACAATGGCTGCCGTCGCATCATCCAGGTGGATGCTGCACATTGGTGGTACCTAGAAAAGTGCTATATAAATGTAACAAATTATTATTATTATACTTATTTCATTTCAAACCTGTAAGACTTTTGTTCATCTTGGAACACAAATGAAGACATTTTTTGATGAAGTCCCTCCAGCTACGCAACTACCACTTTGATGCTTCAAAAAGTTGAAAAAGTGAATTATTGTGTTACACATCAAGCAGGTTCGGTTGAGCTTCTGTTTATCTTTGCTGATCAATGTTTATGTGTGAATAAAAGTCTAAATTCAATCCAATCTGTTCATCATTTAAAGTAATCGAGTCTCTTCATAAAATTTTGACTGAACTGGTCTATTTATATGGATTAGTTTTACGATCTCTTAATAAACTTTTTGAAGCCTCAAAGTGGTAGTTGTGTAGTTGTCAATGGAGGGACAAAAAGCTCTCAGATTTCATCAAAAAGATATTAATTTTGTTTCGAAATTTTTATTTTTGGGCGAACTATCCCTTTAAGCAGCACTGTTTTTAACATTGATATAAGAACTTTTTTTAACACAAAATCAGCATATTACAATCATTTCTAAAGGATCTTGTGACACTGAAGACTGCTGAAAATCAATAAATTACATTCTAAAATATATAAGAATAGAAAACAGGTTGAAATTGTAATAATATTTCACATTATTGATGCTTTATTGTATTTTTGGTCAAATAAATGCAGTCATGGTGTTGAACATAAGACTTCATTCAAGAGACTTCATTCAAAAATATTTGAAAAATCCTTCCACCCCCAAAACTTTCAAATGTAAATCTGAATATTCTCAGGTTTCCCCAACTGAACCTATCATTGAACTGAACTGTGTGTTTACCCCTATAACCCACACCATTGGTTTAGCCAGTGTTGCTGTGTCTTACTGGTCAGGATGCTCAAACAAACATGTTTTGAGTTCACCCTTAAAAGGTTTTATCAGCGGTTTTATCATATGTATTTGGAACCCCTAAAAGGTTCTATACAGAACCCTTTTTAAGGGTTCAATAAGTACCCTTCAGGGTTCTATGTAACCAGGAAAAGGGTTCTATATGGAACCTTTTGGGTTTATTCATTATCATTTTTGTCCTTTCCGGATTAAATGTTTCATATTATTGACAAACATCAAGACCCTAAAATGTATTTATGAATGCATGTGAGATATTTGTATATATGTATATATTTATATCATTTTATGTAGTTAATCAATATCACACGAAGAGTGCCATTTTAGTTTTTTTTTCAGTTTTGCTTTTATAGCATAAAAGGTTCTTTGGAGTTGAGTAAAGAACCCTATGCTTCATATATAGAACCCCAATGAACCCTTTTTTCTAAGAGTGTTGACAGCGCAACCTTCAGACGGCTTACTTTGCATATTAAACCAGGATATAAGAAAGTATTTTAACATTTAGCAGTTATAAATGATTAAAAAACGGCTGTTGTGATTCAGGAATATTTGTTTTTGTTTACAAATTGTACCAAAAAAAAAAAATGTGCCTTACTTTGAATGTTTGTCTGGCATGGAAAATGTAATTAACAAACCATGTTTGTGCCAACTTGAGCAGGCAATATGCTGTTTACCTAAACCACTATCTGAGCAGAGAAAACAAATATTTCTAGTTGAGAGAGGCGCTGAAAGTCCCACAGGGGAGACTGGAGCTGTGTTCTCTTCAGCACGATACCTCTGCTCGAGAGCATAAGAAGGCAGGACTTGTTTTGAGTGTGTGGACGAGAGGAGAATGTGTGTTACCAGCCAGTTATTGTTGCGCAGCCAAAAGACAAAACCAGGATAGGCAAATCCGACACATGCACGCAAGTAAACGCCGTACGCGCACTTGTGTCCACCCTTTTTCCCAGCTTTCCCTGTACTTGCTGGCTGAGTCTAATTCAGTGTCATGTTCCGGGGAAGCCCAGATTGTGAACTAGCTCCTTCCCTGTGTGTTATTTATTGGGTGGGCAGTGAGTTGCTGTCTCCTTATTTACACCAAATTGCTTCTCCAGATGTTTTTTTGGGAAGAAATCCCCCACCCCTCCCAATGCCTCCCTCTCACTGCCCCCCACTTCTCTTTGTCCAGATGGAAATGATTTTTTTTTTTTTGTGTGAAGGGATCTCTAATCCCTTTCTTTACAGGGCTATTTTCCACCACATTGTGATAGGAAACTTTGGATGAGCCGAAGAGAAAAGCTCAAGGTTAAGGCAAAGTCTTGTCAACGGGAAACAATCTCTTCCTCTGGTTGTTAAATAAAGCCTACTACGTGCATCTTTTTTTTTTATTGCTTGGTGTGTGACCCAGTGAAAGCTGCTCGGCCTGGTGTAGATGTATAATGAGCTTTTGTGCTCAATGATTCTCCCTCACTTTCACATTAGTTCCTCTCAGCCAGTGTTGTGGAGAGCGCAGCACGGGGAAATGGACTGTGAGAACGCTAACCAGATGGCTTAGATCCCAAAAGCCCACGGGAATGAGGCAAAGTTCCGGACTAAGCTAAATCAGTGTACCTAGACTTCAACGGCAGATACACATATTGTTTGAGAAAAATAATAAGGGATCGTAAAGATTCAAGAGAATGTATTTGGAGTCATCAAATTGAATACAAACATGCAGCAAAATGCAGAAACTAGCACTTTTTGAGTAATGACCAAGAACGGGTCCCTTAGATGTGAGGGTTTAAACTTTCTGATGCCACAAACCCCAAAATATGATGATCTTCTTGTGAGGGACACCTTCCTAAAATATAAAGCCATCTAAAGACCCATTTGTAAAAAAAAGGTACAATTATGTCTAAAATATTAACTGGAAAATGTTTACTTGGTCAACTCTCTTTTGTGATATGTTATATATCAATATAAACACTGTAAAAATATATATTTTCATGATTTGTAATCACAACATTTTTTCTTTTGTCAAATCAACTTAGATAATTTATGTAGTTCAGATAACATAATATTTTGAGTTTCTGGTGATTAAATGAATCGCCTTCATTGTATTAACTCATTTTTTCCATTTCAATGAACCTAAAAGGCAACCAGGTTACTTTTTTTTAAGTTAAACCAACAATATTTTTATGTATATGTAACATTTTTCTTGTTTTTTTTTCATGATTTCTGACTAGTGTTTGAAAAGCAAGATTGAAATAGCAATAATGTAAAATCAGTAAATATAAACAATTATTTGAATACAGAAGTTTTATTCATTTTTCTCTGAACATTTCCACAGCCACCCTATTGCACCCCCTTGTGGCCCCCCTTGAAAACCCCAGTTTCAGTCTATGGTGTGTCCTTCAATCTAATTGTAGGACGGTCTAAGAGGTGATGATGAACCGTTTTCATGCTCTCACCATGTCTCGTTTTCTGGGTGCCCGCTTTACTTTTTACTGTGCCATCTTGATAAATACAGTAACAGCCTGCACGTCTAAAATGAAAATGGTGGGTTTTGTATGACTGAAACATCAATCAAACTTTCAAAAAGTCATAAATCTTTAAATCTGTGATATACTTTTTCTTTTCTTCAAGGATAGACAATTGGTGCTAAAACTTATCCGATTTTATACCACAGATAAAAGACCATTTACTTCTCCTGAAATCAAATAGGACATTTCTCTGGTGAGCAGTAAGAAGCATTGTTCTAAAACGATAAGGCACAGATTCGTCTGTAGATCTCCGGCGAGGTCCGTGGGGGTGGGAGGTAGAGGGATGAAGGGGGGGAACGGCAGATTGATGAAGAGCTGAAGTGGGTCCCTGGGTGACACACGCTCCACTCCACAATATTAAAAACTCCCACACGTTTTTGGGGAGGCAAAATTGCCCTTGCTGGAACGCTGGTGTATTTTTTTTCCCAGTAATGAGCAGCATTTGTTTTATCTTGATAGATGGGACGTTGAGGAGAATTCATATCATCACAAAACTGTGAAACTGCCTTACATTTATGCCTGGGTGCCCCATTGATCGTTGCTGAAGGACATCTTGACAATTACGCAAGGGACGCCTTCAAGAGGACTGTTCGAAGCCGACCACGACACAATGAGGATTCCTTGCGTGGTTTTTGGGGGTGGCTGCAAAGAACGATGTGGAGTAGGAGTTTAGTCTTGCAACCTGTTACTTTTGCTACCGTTTGCCAACTTTAACAAACATTAAAGGGTGCGTTCACCCAAAAATGAAAATTCTGTCAGTATTTACTCACCCTCATGTTGTTCCAACCCCGTAAGACCTTCGTTCATCTTCGGGACACAAATTAAGATATTTTTGATAAAATGTGAGAGCTGGATCACTCTAGTACTAGACCATAGGCTTCTTGAGGGATTGAAACTTGCCGGCCTCGAAAAGTTATTAAAGACATTGTTAAAATAGTCCAAGTGACTTCAGTGGCTCAATTTTAACTTTATCAAGCGACGAGAATAATTTTTGTGCGCAAAAACGACTTTATTTCAACTATTTACTTCCTTCTCTATGGGCCTCTAGTCAGTTAACGCTTTAGTCCTCTAGTCAATCACACGTAGGCTCACTATATGCCGACGCTGGTCATGTGTGTGATGCGTGTGACGTACAACAACAACAGATCATACGCTGTTAAACTAGTAACCTGACTCGAGGAAGAGAGAGAAGTAAATTAATAGTTGGAAATAAAGTCGATTTTAGTCTTCGATTTTAGACATTAAAGTCGTTTATTTTTGTTGTTTTTTTTTGCACACAAAAAGTGTTCTCGTCACTTGATAAACTTAAGATTGAGCCACTGAAGTCACTTGGACTATTTCAACGATGTCTTTAATAACTTTTCGAGTTATTCCTCAAAAAGCCTATGGACTAGTATGCAGGAGTGATCCAGCTCTCAGATTTCATCAAAAATATCTTAATTTGTGTCCCGAAGATGAACGAAGGTCTTACGGGCTTGGAACAACATGAGGGTGAGTAAATATTGAGAGAATTTTTTAGTTTTGGGTGAACTAACCCTTTAAAACAGAAAATATTTAACAAAACTTATTCAAAATGTTAATAAAAACTCAAATGATAATAAAATAATCCTGTTTTCTCGTTGGCGTCTCACTCAAAAGACTTCAAACGGCCTGTCCAAGGAAAGGCACGTGCAACAGAGTACTCAGAAGTTATAAAAAACATCTTTAGTTTGTGGCGCTCTCACTTATGTCACTTTTGATTGTTGTTTAAGTTTTCCAGACACAAGCCGCTCCACACTTTCATCCTAAAGACTAAACAAGGCCACTAACTGGACTTGGCCCAATGCATCAAAGTGACTCTATTACAATGACAGCAAGACTAGATCACTCCCCGACCCTCTCATGGCTTGCACTCGCACCCTCCTCCTTCTCCACAGGATGTAAATGGCTGATTAAATGAATTAATGTAAGGTTTCTTTCATACATGCCCCAGTAATATTGAAGCCATTACGGTCCTCTCCGGAGTTGGCATGGTCAGCGCTTAGTGCTTAATGTCTTCCACGTTGAGCTTATTAATCTAAACAGTGCAGCACAGCTGGTCTGGATCGAGCGTTCCCGAGCAGCGAAAGCAGTGGCGGCGACGACGACAACCTCACATCTGAACCGCTGCCATATGTGGCCGGGCCTGTGGTGGAAATGCTAACTGGCTTGTGTTAGTTTCTACACTTAATTCTGACCACTCCTGGTGAGTATAGGCTTTCACAGAGGCCTTTATTGAGACCACTTCCAACTGTAAAGCCACACTGGGATACGCCGTTCCTCCATGGGTTCTTGCCCAAAAAAATAAACCACAGAGCCACTGATTTACATAGCTGTGACTCCCACTACCGACCACCTCAAACTACTATGCGCCGAAACATTTAAAGTCTTACTACCATAAATGTGTTTGAGTCTTACAGGGAATAAATGAATTAGAAGTGACTTGTTTATTGAGTGTATGGCAATGTGTTGATTTCAACCCAGTCGTGACATGTGGCAAACATCAACGCTGCTTTTCTCTGATGAGAAGAGTTGGGAAGATGAAAGCATTCACAAGAACGGACTGAAATGATGGTGTTGTGGATGATCTGTACAGCTTAGAGCTTTTTATAATTGCCCAATTACAAACATTGACACTTTTGGATATCGTTTAAATCAAGCAGGGATGAGTTTATGTTGGACAATGAGATTGGAATGTAGATTTCTTCACAACCTAAACCTCTCTTCAACTTTTTAATTAACAGATGAGAGATGACCTCAAATTATGCTGAGAAGTGGGAACTGAAATGTTTCAAACTGAATTCGATCAGCATTCCTGTAAAAGTAAGTAAAACTTTATTTATGTAGCAGCTCTTAGCAAAGTTTACAAAGCGCTTTTCAAAAGACAACTTCTTGGAATTGCAACTTAATATGTAATAATCTGACATTATATCACAATTACACCTTTCTCAGTGTTACAATTGTTTATATGTTTAATTAAAGTATGGAAGCCCATTTAAATCTAAGGGTTAATACAAATCAGTTGGGAAGTTTTGTTTAATAGCTCACAATAAACTGTGGTACACTGTGTAACTCTTGGCCTAGCTGTTAAAAAAACAAAACTACATGCATTTTGGTGAAAATCATCGCGGAAGAACATTGTTTTGGTTCAAGGTGTCTTTATTGGTAAATTTGATAAATTTTACTTCAAGTCTTCAATGCGAGACGCCCATAAAAACCAATCGTTTTTCAGCTAGGCTCAAAACTAGGGTAGAAAACAGCCTATTACTTAATCATTTTGATGCTTTTGAATGTAAAAACCAAGCGAACGTCATAAGTTGACCTCGGACAACAATATAATAAAATTTAAAAAGCCAGATCATGACCCCTTTAAAACTGATCATACGATCATGCGACGACTCCTCGTTGCTTTGTCGACTACATGCTACTTCTTGTCTCAATGACGCATGCGGCGGCCGCGGTGCAACACTGATGGCTGGTGTTGCCCGATTGGATGTTTGTTTTCGCTACATATTAAGGCCTTTTTACATGTGTTTTCGCATGCAATGCTCTAAAGAAATCTGGCACCCTATTGAAGTTAAATTGAAAGAGCGTGCGTTCTCTGTGTTTTTTTTTCACGTACAGACGACAAATCGTTGTCAAAATGATCCTGATCACATGAATCTGCGAAAATGACTAAAAACGCTGTATCATGTGACATCAATGTGAAAAACAGTTTTTATGTGGAAGCTCTGATCCAAAGTTCAAAGAACCATTTATTCAAAACAAAAATCTTTTGTAAAATAAAAGTTTTTACTGTAACTTTTGATACGTTTAATGCATCCTTGCATTTACACTTACCAAACCTTTGAACACTAGAGTAAATAATAGTAAAATGCAAAACTAAGGAGAAAAATCTATTAAATTTTATAAGGAAAGTGAACAAATATGCTTTGAGACACTTTTAAAAGTGATAAATGAATCAACTGCTCAATGAAAAGATCCACATATACACCAAAAAAATGTCGTTTTTGGTATATTTCATAATCATATTGTGTATTGTAGTGGCAACATGTAGAATTATATCCATTTGAAAGATGATGTTTGCCTATTGCCATGAAAAGGTGTCTTAATGCAACTAGAAATCATAATTTAAGGACCTGTTTGGACACAAACTGTCGCTACATACCCCATATTCACTTCAGTTTAGCTTGTCAGTCTGAGACAAAAGAGCTGAGAAGCGTTAACGGAGTCTCTTTCCCTGTCACGGTAAGGTTACTAACAGGTCGATGTACTAGTGCAGAAAGGTAATGAAACAAGGTTCACCCCGGCGCTCTCACCTGGGAGGGTCCTCTTCGCTTGCTGTCTGCACAGATGAGAGCTTTAGGCTAAATCTCTGCTCCGGAGGGTGACACCCTTCAGCTCTTTGCCACCTTAATGGCAGGACTCAGGCCAGATAATGATGCTGACAGCCCGACTGTCAGTCTGCCTCCTCCTGCAGCAGCCCCTTAAGAGCTCAACGTGGGGCACTGGCCATGAATCCGTGAGACTGCTGCATTTTCAAAAGTCATTAATCTAAACAAAGACACCCCGGAGTCTTCCGCGACTCCCTCTGCTCAGCCTCGTCCTCTGCTCAGGATGGAGGAGACGAAGAGTGAGTGCAAAAGAGGCAGCTCAGAGTCCTGCAGTGCAGTGACGGGCTGACATGGAGTCAGTGGGCCTCGCAGGTGAAAGGAAGTGGCCTTTTCAGCACCTTGGAGAGCTCTCGAAAGCGCCGCAGCTTTGATGAAACCTGATTAGTGATGCTTAGGTTGCGCAGCATTCAGAATTCAATTGAGAATGCATTTTAATTTCTAGTCGAGTTTCGAAATGAATGTTTGAATGTTGTTGCAAAACTTAGTATAAGTGCATTAAATTCCTCTTAATGTTCTTCCAATTCCAATTTGACATCTTATGGGGACTAATCGGTTCACATTCACACTCATGAATTGAAAATAATTTTTAAATTCTGAATTTTGCACAACACTTTTTTTTAAACATGCTGTTGTTTTTCATCTTGATGGAGGTCCAAAAAAATAACCAGGTCTCTCTAGCCAACACTGTTTGGGTGGCATAAAAATAAGGAATCTAAGGAAAATAAGGAAAAAACTGGCAGTTGTGGTTGCCAGAACTTTACCGTTAAAAATATGTTAGGAACGTTAATGGATTTACAGACTTAACTTCAAATTTACAGTAATAAACCGTATTTTATTTTCTAATAGAATGTGGATTTACCAACTTATTGATGTATTGATATCTGTTTTATACCATTGTAATACACTGACAACCAACAATCAACACAGCAGTGATGCGAGTTACATGGGCAATCACAGCTCAAAACAAATGAATACTTGTATAAGGCAATACTTATTTAAAGAAGCTGAGGTGTCATTCACATAAACGTTAAACACCATCATGGTAACACACATGAAATTAAAAAAATGCAATAAACATTAATTTAACAACATTAAATGTAATATAAAACCCTAATGTACATAACTGATTAGGAAAAAAACAATAAAACTATGAGGAACCATAGTTATTTCAACAAAAATACATAAATTGTGAAGTGTCACAGGGAATTGTGGGAATGTCAATTTACGGTTTTTCACTGTAAATTATACAATGATTTGTTCTTTTTCACTTTCAAAAATTGTAAATTTAACGGTATTTTAGTGTAAAATTATATCACAGTTATTTACCGTGTATAGTATGGAAACTTTCTGTTTACTAATTAACAGTTTTGCACTGTAGCCTTTTTACACTATTTTACCGTTAAAATCATGGTTATTTTTCTTTTGATTCACGTAAATTAGTTTTGGGGTGTCATAAGTCAATGTTCCCACTCTCATCTTATTAGCGAGTCCTCCTCTTTTAGGGTGCCATATCTTTTTCATCGTTGTTTCAACAAGCCCTCAGACTGACACGCATGCTGCTTACCACATCCAACCAGCTCCTCCAAAGACCCCTAAATCTGCAAACATGTTGAAAATGAGAGGATGAGGAAGGTGTAGCCCTTAGAATAAAGCCAAAAGTGCTTAACAACAGACACCTTTGCCAGAAGATGGTTAAAAAACAGCGACTCCACACTTGCCAAATGCTAATGCAGATGTTTGGACGCTTGTTTGCTCAGTTTAGCTGGCCCAAAACAAGCCATGATTTCATTTCTGCTCAGTTGAGAATCAGGACATGAAGCACCATCACTGCGGAGGATGCATCAGTGAAGCATGATTTTGCATCCAGGACATTCACGTTTGAAGCAAAGGTTAGAGAACAGTGACACCAGGTTTTTAACACTGAATGGTGTAGCCATATGGCAACATTATTTTTTTCCACATCATATTTTTTTTGCTGCATGTTTGATAGGATAAAATTAAAGAAATATTTGTTTAATTGTTACATAGCTGCCATAAGACAGCAAAAATCTATTTTTATTAGAGCTATTTTATGTCTTCAAAAAAAAGCTAAACAATATTCCAGCATGCTTTGATGCAATTATACCAATTCGAAGAGAACCTATTATCAATGTCAGTTTTATTCACACTGTCCACACCTCAGCAGCAGCAGGATCAGGACGCTATAGTGGGGTGTGAAATATCAGCCTAGTTATTTCTCTTTCAGCTGTGGCCTTTTGACTGCTGTGTTCTTACTACTTGAGTAGTGTAGAAAAAGAATTGGAGAAACACTATTCACATCCAGCTTTGTTCTGATGCATCATGGGTAGGGCCATAACCAGACGTTGCTATGTTGAAACATAATTTCCACGTAAAACAAGGATGCAATATATAACATGTAGGCTTCCCACAATGCTGTGTGATCCCTCGGGCCCCGTAAAGAATCACCACTCGCAAGATTTATCATAGTGAAATCATAAATAACTCTAAAACGCCTGGGTTGGATTTGTATGTTTGCTTGCGCTCAAGTCTGACATCATCTGGAAGGCATTCCAAGCAAACCTGTCCCGTGCCTTTGTCTGAATCCTGTCGGATGAAGCCGTTTTTGGCACTTGCCTTTGCGTTGTGCGCTGGCTTTCCTCTTAAGAGAGGAAGATGGATCATAACATCAACTTGCTTTCAGTAGTTGTGGAGGATGAGAAAAAGATAGTGTTTTCCAACTCTTTCTCCTTACCTGATCATTAGCAGCTTTCAGCAGTCTACTCGCTCTAGATTGATCTCTCCTGCTTCAGCTGTCAGTGACATTTCAAACCCTTGTATAACGAAGAGGAATTTGCCCTCCGTAAATTAAAATAGGTAGAGGAAGTGAGCAGCATCATGCTCTCTTATGACTAAACTGGAACTGAGATGAGGGTTGTACTCTACCAGACAAATAAACAAACAAAAAAACGTATTCTTTTCCTCATGATTAATGGTTAAGGGAAGTTATTGTGGCCTTTTTAATATTTTAAGTTAGTACGAATAGTGTGTGGCAATACTTTCTGTAATGTTTTGGCTTAACAACTGTTGCAAAGAGGGCATTCATGTTTTTTGGCTTACTTTTTATATCTTCCAATTAAATGCAATACTTGTTACATTTTATTTATATTCCATTATTTTCCATAGACATAATATTTTGGATTTTCTTCTGTTTTATTGAATTAATAACTGAAAAAATATTGGGGGAAAAAAGTATAATTTCTTTTGCTCACTGTGTTTATTGGATCAAAAATACAGAAAAAGCAGTAATATTGTGAAATGTATTATTACAACTTAAACACGTTAACTATATACGTTTCTATATAGATTTTAAAATGAAATGTATTCCTGTGATGTCAAAGCTGACTTTTCAGCGTCATTACTCCACACTGT